GCAAGACTGAGCTGAACCTTCATTGCTGGCCATTGGTGCCAGCGACGACCTTTGCAGCATGGTGGCAGCCTGGAGGGGTTTGATGTCCCTTTGGGGGTTAGCGGCCCCATCAGCAGCTCCTTCACTGTTGATGGGCTCAGTGGTGGTGGCAGCAGCAGCTCTGGTGGTGGCAGCAGATTCAACAGCAGCTTTCCCGGCAGTGGCAGGCTCAGCAGCAGCAATGGATGGCCTGACAGTGGCAGCAATCTCAGCAGTGGCATTTGGGCCGGGCTCATGGGCCGGTACAATGGTGGCTCCGTTGGGGGCAGTGGCAGTGCGAGTGAGTGTGGCCCAGACATCTGGCATTGTCTTCTTTTATTGGGTGGGGGGGAGATTTAAACCCCACAATGTATTTTTTTCAGTTTTCAGATTTTTCTGCAAACCTAGGGGGTTACCCAAGTTTCCATGAAAACCTGTTTGGGTTAAGTGTGCTCCCTATCTGCAGATTTAGATATCCGCACATAGGGGGCATGTTGAGAATTAAACATATAGATTATTCAATATAATTTGTTCAGCAAGAAGCAAAAGATTTTCCATGTGATCAAAAATAAAGTTAATGTACCATGATTATCAGGCATAATGAAAGCTGAAGCAATTTGGGTATTTAACATGCTTTTTTAAAAAAAAGGCTTGAAAATGGTGAATCAAGATCTGGGACAAAAAAAAAAGGGTGGGTGTGGATCTGATGGGTAAAGACATAGGGATTTTGGCTAAGTTCTGTAAAGGTTAATGTAACCATTTTGCTTTTGCATATATACAGATACATTTTTGTATTTAAATACTCTAAGCATGCCTATCTTGGTCACACATCTTATGTCAGAACAAGCATTCATTACTGAATGGTTATCCTTCTAGCTGTGTAGATGCACCTAAGATAACTGGGCCCTTTTGCACTTCTGATGGTCTGAGCCCCTGCAGAAGGACTATACGTGACAATCTGCATGTAAGTCTTCCTGGGCTCCGGATCCAGCATGACTATTCTTACATTGTCAATTATGAGTAGCATCTGTTCTCACTAAGAAAAAAGTAGCTTTTATTGGAAGTTCTAAACTGGGTCATAATTTTGTTTTTACACATGCACATTTTGCAATACTGCTTGGTAACTGTAGTGCAGGCACAAGAAAAGACAGCAAATTACAAATGTTACAAATGCTGGGATTTAAAAAAAATAACCAGGGTGCTTGACTTGCATTCTTCCCAGTAGGCTGGTTGTTGTTTTGGATGGCATGCAGGATTTTTCAAATGATTAGTATATGCACACTGAATTTTTAAATCACTGGTTGGTGCTTTGGGTTTTCCAAACAGTCATTAGACTAGGAAGCCTTTGTTTTCTAACCCTCCTTCTTCATTTTCTTCGTAAAGGTCATAATTGCAGGATTATTAATGTTCTTCCCATACCTTTGGGCTTATGTGACTTTGTTGACCTCAAGGATGATGATTTCATTCCTGTGCTCTAGGCAGAACCACAGCAAATCACTGTTCTCAAAATTATAGTTCCGTTTATGAAAAGCTCAAGTTAGTTTTGGCAATCAGGTCAGTTTCTCTTGATACCAAGTAAGAAGTTAGTCAGCTTTTGTTCATGCAGCAACAGCAGGTACTACTGACCCTTACTGACCACTGTACTGAATATTAACTGTGCAGATGCAGAATCAACATATAACATGGACTAGGGATGGGCCATGGCTCAATGATACAGCATCTGCTTTGCATGCAAAAAGTCCCAGGTTCAATCCCCGCCATCTCTAGTTTAAAAAGATCCGGTAATAAGGGATGTGAAAGACTTTGACCCAAATACTGCTGCCAGTCAAAGCAGACAATATTGACCTTGATAAGCTGATGGTCTGACTCAGAATAAGGCAACTTAATCCCATTTAAAATTATGAATAACATAAGAATTCAGTGGCAAGGTGACTGACTCATGATAAAAAGGAATGTTATCAAAAAGTGAAATTATTAGCAATTTTTTAAAAAAATCTTCAGAGCATCACTAATCCAAAGTTTACTTAGGAAGTGAGTTACACTGAGTTTTATTATTTCAGAGTAAGGTACTACTTTAGCTGGTGGGGAGCAGATCACAGCTCTGCTGATTAGGGTTCTGCATTCATGTTGTACTTTGCATACTACCCTGATACTTACTCAGTGGCTTGGGTAGGGTGCTGGTGGAAATGATGTCGCACCACCAATGCAGTGGTGATTTTTTCCCTGAATTTCCCTCCCACCAACCTACTGCTGAAGGGAGGTCTCCCACTATATCAGGAGACCTGGCAACCTCAGGAAGACAACACTACATTCTCAGAGGTTACAGTTATATTATTGCATTAGTTTGGTAGGGAGAGGCACAGGGCACACAGTAGTCATATCATATATGACAGGGGTGGCCAAACTTGCTTAACGTAAGAGCCACATGGAATAAACGTCAGATGTTTGAGAGCCGCAAAACATGAACAAATATTACACACACACTTTTATTGGAAAATATGCAAATTTGCATTTTATTAACATTAAATGAGACTGCCCAAAATAAGAACAAAAGGGATAAGAACAGATACTGATAATGATATTTATTTGTTCAATGATATTTATTTGTTTGCTAATGGTATTTATTTAAGAGAGAGAGAGAAAGAGAGAGGGGTGGAAAGAAAGAATTAAAGAGGTGGAAAGAAAGAGAGAAAGTTAACAGATACAGGAGGGAAGGAAGGAAGGGAGAAAAAGAGAAGTGGAAAGAAAGCAAATAGATGGGGGAGGAAGGAGAGGAAGGAAGGGAGAAAGAGAGAGAGAAACAAAGAAAGCAAATAGATGGGAGGGAGAGGGGTGGCTGGACAGGTGGTCACTCTTGGGGGCCGGGCTTGGGGGCATCCCTTGGGAGCTGCACAATATGTGTAAAAGAAGAAGACGATGAAGAAGAGACTGGATTTATACCCCGCCCTTCACTTGGAGTCTCAGAGCGGCTTACAAACTCCTTTCCCTTCCCCACAATAGGGTGGGGCTGAGAGAACTCTGACACAAACTGCTCTTTGAGGAACAGCTGTGCCAGAGCTTGTGACTGAACCAAGGTCACATCAGCAGGTGCAAGTGGAGGAGTGGGGAATCAAACCCGGTTCTCCCAGATTAGAGTCCGCACACTTAACTACTACACCAAACTCAACTGGCTCTCTAAAAGAGCTGCATGTGGCTCCCGAGCCAGAGTTTGGTCACTCCTGATATATGGTTCTCTGCAAGTTGCATGTGGTCCTCTGCAATCTGACACATCTATAATGCTTATATTCAGAGTGTGTGTGTGTGATGGTACTCAACAGTACTGAGTACCAGCACATTTTGGGGGGGCTCTTCCCAGTCCTGATCAGTGTTCCCTCTAAGCTGAGTTAATATGAGCTGGCTCACAGTTTTTTAGCCTCCAGCTCACTGATTTTTGTCTTTGCTCAGGAAGGATGGCTCCAGAGCAAACTAATTTATGCAGTAGCCAAATAGTTTGCTCACAACTTTAATGCCAGTAGCTCACAATGTAGAATTTTTGCTCACAAGACTCCACAGCTTAGAGGGAACATTGGTCCTGATTGTCATGCACTGGCCTGCCCCACTCAACCAGAGAGGGAGTGGACCTTCAGGAACAACCTAGTTGGGATCTACAGAGAGAGGGAGGAATTGGTGAAAATCAGTGCACCCTTATATAAGAGTACTGGCGCTTTAAGAAAAAGGCACTGCTTTTATTACTTGATGTTTTGGCCTGACTTTGTAGAAACCAATAATTCCTTCCCTCTTCTCTGTGGTGGTCGAAAGTGCTATCAAGTCACAGTTGATTTTATGGCAACCCCTCACAGGGTTTTCAAGGCAAGAGATGTTCAGAGGTGGTTTGCTATTGCCTGCCTCTGCATTGTGGCCCTGGACTTCCTTGGTGGCACCTCATCCAATTACTAACCAGGGCTGACCTTGGCTAAGCTTGAGATGGGGCTAGTTTGGGCTATCAAGGTCAGGGCCTGGTCTCTGTACTCACCACTTATCTAGAAAGTGATTACTTCATGCAACTGACAAAGAAGGCTCTGACCCCAAAAAGCTTAAGGTTTTGAGGTGTCAAAAAGCTCTTTGCTGTTCTTGTCATTCATAGCTGCACAAAAGGCTGAAGTTCAGCAGGCTCAGAAATGCCTTCCTGATTTTCTGCCTGTCTGGCAACTACTAAAATCAGAGGACTTGTGGAAGAAAATAAAACGAAAGGCAAAAAGCTAAGAAGGCAGGAGTGCAAATGAAACACCATCAGAAACTGCAGGTAGCTGTGTGGATGTCCAGCAAAATCAAAAAACAAATTCCAAAAATAAAAGCCTTTTATTAAGACCAAGCAAAACAACACCGAAAAGTATGCATGTTGCTTCAGAGCTCCATCAGGTTGGAGCTCTTCATCAGGTTGCATGTTAGAAAAACAAAATAAAAAAACGGGAGGTTTGTTTTTTTTTTGAGAATCTCTCATATGTTGTTGCAGCCTCTTGGCCAGGATTCTGTAGGGAATGCTAGTGACGAGGTCTCACCATCACCATCCCAGATATCTTTTTTACTCCTTATTTTGATTTAAACATCTAGCCTGAGGAAGAGCTCTCAGAAGCTTGCACGATGTGTTGTGTTCTTTTCTAACTGTCTTGTATACTGGGCTGAAAGCCGGGCTACGGGAACACGGACAACAATCGTATGCACGCCCATTTGAGAGTAAATCCCATTGAAATCGCCAGGATTTAGTTCTGAGAAAAACTGCCTAGGATCGAGCCGCGGCTGGACGTAGAACCAGTTTCGAATAGCTCATTCGGACCATCCACACACAGCTCGGTTTCAACCACCACTGCCCTGCACCTCTAGCGCTACTCAAGAGAGTAACGAGGGCGGAGTCCGGCGAGACGCGCCGCCCGCAAGCCCGCCTCCCTAGCCAGGCTGCAGCGGAAGGGGCGGTGCGTGCATGAACCGCTGCTGGGTTGGTAGCGGAAGCGCAGCTTAAGCCAGAGGAGGCCCGAAGGCGCCTGGAGTGTACAGGTCAGTTGGTGCCCACCGGAGACGCTTGGGTTTCATCCCTGGGGCGTATAGCCCCTGTAGGAAGGAACAGTGGCTTATGGGGCAGCAGTAGCAACGCCCCCCCCCCCTCGTGGCAAGGGGGACTTAACTTTGGACACGGGAAGGAATAATTAAGAAAGAAGTGTCTCTGAGCACGTGTAGACACCATTCCCTTGTGTACTAAGTCACCTTGAGTCTGCCGCCCACAAGCCTAGATTACTTACTTGAAAACATGCTGCTATCGCTGCCGGAAGTTTTACAATAAAAATTAATGATCTGGGAGGTGGGCAAAGAGAGCTGCAACGTACAGTTTCCACGCTGGTTTTGATTTTCTGGACAAATGTGTGACAGCTGCTAGTTAAAATTGCTTCGAGACCGCCCTCCCCCATTTGGTACATAGGAACAGTGGCTAGGGTTGCCAGCCTCCAAGTAGGACCTGGGGATCTCCCGCTTTCACAACTGATCTCCAGCTGACAGAGGTCAGCTCCCCTGGAGAAAATGGCTGCTCTGGAGGGTGGACTGTATGGCATTGTACCCTTCTGAGGCCTCTCCCCTCCCCAAACCCCGCCCTCTCCTGGCTCCACCCCCAAAGTCTCCAGGTATTTTCCAACCTAGACCTGGCAACCCTAACAATGGCCCTTGTTCAACATCTTTTTAAAAAGTTTCCAGTAGTGGAGTAGGAGGAGTAAAACTATTGCCAGGAAGGGGGCGGCATAAGACTTCCCGCAAGCTAATCACTGAAAGATTTGTGCATCTTTCATGAAGTATTCTGTAGCAGCGTTGACAGTCCTGTAGCAGAAAAGTGGTGTATATGTACATTTAAATATAGACAGGCTTCTGTCTAAGAAAAGCCAAATGGAATAGGAACACTTGGCAGTTTGGACATATTTTTGAGTTTTATTATTTCATGATTACAGAGAAGAGCTGAAGGAAATATGTCTCTTACACTAGTGGTTAATTTTGTACAGGGTCTTACTGAAATTCTTGTAGTCAATAATAAAACTTGATTTTGCAAAATAACATATTTAAGGGACATTTTTTCCTCTGCCTATGGAGGTGAATCCCAAAGACATAAAGAATTACATATATGTGTTTGATAGTCCAGACATAAGCTAGTGATTTCTTGTGATTTTCTTTACCATGACATCTTAGATCTGATGCTGGCAGGCAAGAAGAATTTAACCATGCAGCGTTACATGTTTCCAGTGTCTCATTTAAACTGACCTTTCAGCCATTACATACGCAGTGTTAACATTCCAGAGATAATAGCCTGGGTGCATGTTGTGCTGACATGCTAATATTGCATGTGTAACAGAATTGCACATGTATTGGTCCAGTTTAAACATAATGGTGGACATGTGCAAACTTTCAAGAAACTTTCCTGACAATGTCACGTTTTAATCAGATGCTGGAACTTTATTTAGGGAGTGAACCCGCACAGACTTAATGGGTGGGGTGGGGGGAGCCAGTTTGGTTAAGAGTGCGGACTCCAATCTGGGAGAACCGTGTTTGATTCCCCACTTCTCCACATGCAGCTGCTGGTGTGACCTTGGGTCAGTCATAAGTTCTTTCAGAGCTGTTCTCTCAAGAGATGTTCTCGAGAGAGCTCTCTTCTTATCACCTACCTCACAGGCAATGTTCCCTCTAAGCTGTGGATTCTTGTGAGCAAAAATTCTGCTTTGTGAGCTACTGGCATTAAAGTTGTGAGCAAGCGATTTGGCTGCTGCATAAATTAGTTTGCTCTGGAGCCATCCTTCCTGAGCTAAGACAGAAATCTGTGAGCTGGAGGCTAAAAAACTGTGAGCTAGCTCACACTAACTCAGCTTAGAGGGAACACTGCTCACAGGGTGTCTGTTGTGGGGAGGGGAAGGGAAAGGCGTTTGTAAGCCGCTCTGAGACACCTTTGGGTAGTGAAGGGCTGGGTATAAATCCAATCTCTTCTCTTCTTCTTCCTCCTCTCTTTCCCCTTTCTCTTCTCTGATTAGCCTTTCCCCGCATCCTTTTCTCCTTACCACACAATGGCCAACCTTCCTTTATCTGCCCCTCTGTTTTCAGCCTGGCCCCCCACAGTCTCCACCTAGGAAAACTATGGCCTAGTTATGTGGTGCTGGCTGCTGGGCCAGGCCCACTTGTATGTTAGGGGACTCTCAAGGGTTTCTGGGGTGGCACATCATTTCCCCCTGTATCCCTGCCCTCACATAGTTCCCCCTTTCCCTCCACCTGACAACCCCCATATCCTCTTCCCTTTCCCTGCCTCGTTCTCTCTTTCTCAGCCATTTTCCAACCTACTTTAAAAAAATTATTTTTATTATTATAATAAGAAAAGTACATATACAAATAACACATATTTCGTTTTACATTGCTCAGTACAGTACTACCTTTGGTTTTCAAGTGATAGTATATTCCCCTCAGTATATTGGTATTGATAATTGATGTAATTGTTGTTCTGAGTGTAAGTGCAGAGTTTGAACCTATTTGCATCTCTGACTACTTAGTATATCTCACAGGTGTAACCACTTATGGTATGTGGTGTTACTCGGGAGTATTCCTTCCCTTGACATATAATTTAGTATCGGTGACCATGTTTTAATATATCTCATACGCGGAGCTATGATTGTCTGTTGTGTCCTTTGTATTGAATCTGCGATTTTGGCCATAACGAACTGTTGCCATAATTTGCCATAAACACTGCCAAAGAAGGTGGGGATGGTGATTTCCATCCTACAGCTATTGTCAATTTGGCTGTCACAAGTAGTGTCGAGATAGTCTCTCTAGTGTTGCCTACTATTAAATCATCCCATTTATGTAAGAGTATAACTTCCAGATTAAATGCAATTTCCTGAGATGTTATCTCTTTAATTTGGGCTGTTACTTCTCTCCAGAAATGTTTAATTTGTGGGCAATCCCACCAGCAATGGAGATACGTGCCTTCCTGTCCGCACTTCTTCCAACATCTGGGATCATTATTTATATTTATTTTGTGCAGGTGTTGTGGAGTCAAGTACCATCTCGACAACAATTTAACAGTTTGTAAGCGGATGTTGTGTACTGGCGAGTTATTTGCAGGTGATGATCAAATTAAGTTCCAGTCTGAGTCTTGCCATTGTACGTTCAACTCTTCCTCCCAGCGAAGTTGATGTTTTAATTTGGTTTGGTTTTCTGTTGTTATGATCGCTTTATAGATTGTTGATAAAATTCCTTTTGGTGTAATTGGGTAGTTTTTGATTGTCCTTTCTAGCGGTGTCAGTTTCCTCTTGAATGTTCCCAGGTTCGTCAGGACTTCGATAAGTTTCTTCAGTTGGAGGTACTGATGCCGCTGTGTTTGGGTCCCAATTTTTGTGTCAAAGTATTGTTTGTCCAGGATCTTGCTTTGGTGTGTTAGATCTATTGGTCTCCTGAATCCCGCTTTTGTCCAGGTTTCGAAAGCCCCCTGTATTTTGCCCGGCGGAAACCAATTTTGATGGGTAAACACTGATAACTGCGACACTCCTTCTGGTAAGAGCTTCTTTTTCTGGTCCCAGGTTTGGATTGCTGTCATTAAGAGGGTGTTGGGTTTTTTTTATCGATTTTGGCCTTTGCTTTGGTGCTATCCAGAAGATTTCATGCATTGCGAAGGGGCTTGTGTACATTTCTTCTATTTGTATCCAAGAGGTTTGATTATCTAGTTGTAGCATCCGCACTATCTGAGATAGAATTGTAGCTTGGTGATATGCACGTAATAGAGGGAGATCTAGACCTTCTAGGCTGGCGGGTCGGTGTAGTATATTTTGGTTTTTCTTGACTTTTCCCCCTCCCATAGGAATCTTATCAATGAATTTTGCCAGGTCTGCAGATCTTTGTGATAGAGATCGGTAGAGTTCGGAAAAGGAACAGGAATTTTGGTAGTACAAAGCTCTTTATAAGATGTAGTCTATCTGCTAACGTTAGTTGTAGTGTGTTCCAAATTACTATATCCCTTTTTATTTATTATGTTTCAGAAGGTCTTTTAGGTTTAGGGGTATATTCACCCCTAGATGTCGCCAACTCTCCTTAATCCAACCTACTTTTTATCTGCCTCCTATCGTCATCTATATTTATTACTTTTCCCCTTCATTTATACCTTGCCTTTCCCCACAGTGGGGACCAAAACAACTTACATCATTCTCCTCTCCTCCTTTTTAATCCTCCCAACAACCCTGTGAGATAGATTAGGCTGAAAGTTTGCCCGGCTAGGCGCAATATAAATGGAAAGTAATAAATAAATATGTGACTGGCACAATATCGCCTAGTGAGCTTCCATGGCAGACTTCCATTGAGGGCTTCCATTTCTTAAAGCTACAGGTGGTCCTTTTATCATTTTGGTTTTTTTCTACCTTCCCACATGTATTTGTTTAGATTTCAGATTTTTTTGTCTTCTCTGTTCACAGTTCCAGTCACTAGGTTTAAGCATCCTCAGATTTGACTGACTTGGCTATTAGAATGTAAGATTCCATTGACTATTTTGAAGCAGAGCTGTGACAGCTGTGATTGTTCTGTGCTGCTGTGCAACAAGTTTGAATGGGATTCTCTTGGCTTTTTGAAGGTTCCTAGGGTGCAGAACCAACATACATTGATATGTTGGTGTGGAGGAAATGAATATTGCTACTCCCATCTACATAGTGATGTCAGAGTGATGATGCAGGTGAGACTAAAAATGCATAACTTCTGAAATGAAGAAACTCCCAAGTTGAGGCTCCCATTCTGGAGGCAAGAAAGCAGCAGAAGCAGAAAAGTTTCTAGCGTTATGATTTGTAGGGTAGGGTACTGTGAATGCCATATTTTACCTTTGTCTCAGTCACTCAAGTTGTATTTTCAAGAGGGGTTTGTGGCCAAAATTGTGTCTAACGAATGGAACTATGGGATGCAGTCTTTACATGTGTGTAATATGAATTGAATGGATGGGAATACTGAGTGGGGAAATGTTCTACATGGATTATGGTACGTAGCAAGTCTGAAAAATACATGCAATTGCTGCTTTCAGACAAAATGGTAATTGTGCATGTCAGGATAAGATCCTGTGTAGTGTGTGTTCCAGCCCCATAGCCAGAAATTTATGGCTGGCGGGGTAGGGGCCAGGGAGTTGGGGCGGGGCAGGGCCAGGGAGTTGGGGCGGGGCAGTGAACAGTGGGGAACTTAATTAGATTACCTAACAACGTGTGGTATGGACGGTAGTGAGGGTCACTCCCCTCCATCACTCCCCCCCATCAGCTGTTAGGTTTAACAACTGTTCCTCCCCTAGTGAAACTGACCAGAAGCCTCAGGGCAGCTTCCCTTCCCTTTCCTTCCCCAGCCTCCTTGCCACTGTGGGGGCGAGGCACATGGGGGGCCCCCTGAAATCCTCCTGGGGTGGGGCAGGGCTTGTCCAGGGTGGGGCTGCACCCCCAAATGCCCAACTTTGGTTATGGGCCTGGTGTGTTCTCCTCATGTGTGGTAAAATACAGCGTTAACTGGAACAGTGTTGGAGCAGTTTTCTTTTGTTCTAGTCCCATGACATTTTGGGAACCTCTGTAGAAAGTACGTACCTCATTGCCAATTGATGTTGAGAAAACGTATCACACTGGACAGCCCAATTTGGACTAAAGAGTCCTAGATTTGAATTCATATGAGGCTTCCTTCGGTCAGTCACCATTTCTCACAATAACATACCTCATAAGAGGTGAGGGGAGAAAATGGTGGAAACCCCTTTGGGTCTCCATTGGGGAGAAAAGGGAGGTGGGTATAAATAATGAAAAAAATAGAACTAAAATGGGGAAGAGGTTACCATTGGCGATAGGGTAGGATAAAACAAATAATTGTTCACATAGACAGGGATGGGAATGACCGTTGTGGAATGGCTCTCTCTCACTGTTCCCTGAAGTGTATGAGTTGAAGTCTGCCTAAAAGATGTGGTAAGATCTACTCTCTTCTGGCATGGATCCTGCCAAACTATCTTATGATGCTTCTTCTGGATGAAAGATGTGGCATGCTTTCACCTTCAAATGAATTGTCAGAATGACAGATGCTGCAGATATCAGGCGTTTGTTCTGTGGTATTCCAGTTTGCCAGTATTTATTACTTTAGTAGAGGAAGTTTTGGAATTAATCATGCCTTTTAAACAAAGGACCTCCAGATTACCGAAATTATAATAAATGCATAAATTACTTCTGCCTGCTTGCACTGATAAGTTTTCCAAAAAGAGGCAGGACACAGGCAACTATTAGAGAGGGAATTAGAAAACAGTTTTGATTGCAAGTGGTCAGTTTGTTTAATTTGGCCCCCTGGTGGTCTTTGAAATCCATTTCTCTAGGGTATCGAATGCTTGGCTTTTGAAGTCCTGTAATGCTGCTTATGCACATAAAAATGGACTAGTTAGATGAAATGTGCTTACTACTTACTTACAGTCCCATAAATAAGTTGGGGAAAAATATTGGTGTTGTGAAGTATAGAAGAAAGGAAAGAAGCCCTTCAGGAAAGCTGTATGTGCAGCAGCCAATTCAAAGGCATGTGGATCACAGAGAGAATGTTCTGTCTCCTTCCTAAAATAGCAAAGCCACCAACAAGAACTCACCACTCCCCTTTTGGCAGCACAATATACCTGTTTATGAGGAATAAGTAGAGCAATTCTGCATATTGTTTTGGTTGGTAATGCTTACTGTAGGAGGGTACCTTTTCTAGGAGGAAAGGCTGAATGGCTGTTCAGTGCCACTCTTGATCTGGGTGTTTGATAGATTTCATCTCTTTTAGGATACTCCAAGGTCAGTGAAAGCTGGGAATATAAAAATAAGGATTCCTCCAAAGCTCGTTTCCCCAAGTCAGGGCCTTTTGTCTGTTTTCATTGTGTTTCTCTGTATCTACATCAGATAACCCACAGATTCTCCAGTGGAAGGCTCTGAGAACAAAGGAGAAAGATGTTGCCAAGGCCAAAGCCCGGGGAGTCCGAAGCAGATTTGTTGAAATTTCAGAATCAGTTCCTGGCATCAAAAGCTTCTCCAGCAGTAAAGGTTGTAAAGAAGGCAGATAAGAGAAGAGGGGATGAGGGAAGTGGAGTTGAGGAGAGACTTCCACTGCAGCATGACAGAGATGTGGTGTCACTAGATGGTAAGTTTATTTTGGATTTCTTTACACTATGTATATCTTCTAACAGTGCTTGGCATTCTTTAAGAGAAAACACTCTCTGTTCTTGTAAGTTGCCATGCATTCTCAAGTGTTAGCATTCAAGTGACCTCGTTTTTGATTTAAAATCACAGCCTCCCAAGCCTCCTTCAGTGACCACAACTGCCACACACTGGACTGCAGCAAGCTGCACCTTCTGGTAGAGGCTTGTAACGTCTCATGTTCTCAAAACAAAGCAGTGAGAACCAAATCAGCAACACCTTAAAAGCAAATTTAAGTGAAATTTTTAAGCATTGTCTTTATGTAGCCAACCAGGTTGGGTGTCAAAGGACAGCAGACTGTATAGGATTGCCAGGTCCCCTTGCTGTGCTGGTGGGATTTGGGAGGTGTTCTGGGACATCATCAACGTGATGATGTCACCTAGAAGTGATGTCATCGCATTGGCAAGGTTGCATCATGACGCTCTGGTTTAAGGGCAGAACTCTATGGTTTTAGGCCAAATTTATCATAGAGTTTTGCCCTCAAACCAGAGCATCATACACAACCTACCCAACGTGATGATGTCTCTTCTGGGTGATGTCATCATGTCGTGGATGTCACACCCAGACATGGCTGTTTGGGGGCAGGGTTTCCCCTGCCGGCCTGCTGGCTGGTGGTGGGCAGAAGCCCCAAAAGGCAGGGGAACCCCTGCTGGGACCTGGGGACTATATAGAGCCAAAACTCAAAAGGCCCTGAACCAAGTTTAAATCAGTCTCAGCACTTGATTGGGGGGGACTTTGTACCAAAGACAGCAAGAAACATCCTTAATAGGTAGTGTTTGGAATTTTTTTTTAATTTAATTTTTTTATTGGCATGAAGCAATATATTACAAACAAGATATATAAGTCTGCTTCCTTAATTTTTTTCCAGTACATAAACATTAAATATATAACAGTATTTAATCAAGTCATAAGCAATAAAATATAACAAGGTTTGAATTAACCGAAGTCTGCAAGTTTTAAAGACAGTTTTTGAAATTTTTCATATTAATCAGTGCTACAGAACATTAAACTTGAGTTGATACAGAATGCTGCAGCTACAATGTTGACTGGAGTGAGAGTGGGTTGTAGGCCCCGTTTCACTCTAATCTTGGCCTATCTGCACTGGCTCCCAGTTTGTTTCTGGACGTAACTTAAGGTCTTGACCTTCAAAGCCCTATACAGTTTGGGATCAACATCCACGAAGGACCACCTACTCCCTTATGAACATGCCTGACCACCACTATGGTCATCTTTGGATGCACCTTCCTTCTGAGATTAGGCGGATTTCAACTCAGCAGAGGGCCTTCTTGTTCATGGCACCAATTCTGGACCCTCTGTTCCCAGAGAGATTCGCCTGTCCCCTTCTGTTACTCTTTTTTTGCCAGTGACTGAAGACTTTTTTGTGTTTTGGGTGTGTGTGTGTTTTTTTTGCATTTGTGCGCACCTGTACCTGGAAGTCATGGTGCTCTCTGTCGACTCCTACTCGGTCCTGGAGGACATTCAGAGAAGTAGCTTGTTAGCGTGCCTCTGCCTCCCGGCCCTGGTATTCTCTGGATGTCTCTCCTCCAAGTACTTGCCAGAGTCAGCCCTGCTTAGCTTCCGAGATCTGACGAGATCAGGCTTGCCTGGGCTATCCAGGTCAGGGCCTTAGACCTTTTTGTTTTGTCTAGCATTCCTTCTTTGATTCCTCCTTCCTGCCTTTTGTTTTAATAGTTGCTTTTATGTTTTTGTATGCCTTTTTAGCTTGGCTGTAATTGTTTTTGTTTGGTTTTAATCGTTTGTAAAGGATGTTTTAATTATGTGGTTTTTTAATCTGTTAGCCACCTTGATGGCCCTTATGAGGGCAGAAAGGCAGGGTATAAATTTTGTAAATGCAGACAGTAATAAACCTGACCTTCAAGTACTCAGTTGAAAACTGGGCCATTATTGAATACAGAATGGCATGTCTCTATTTCCATAGTGAAATTCTTTTGATTGGAAAATTGAATGAAAACCAGTTTAATTTTACACCTGAAATGACTATGACGACTCTGTCAGGACTGTATCCCCTTAGTACTAGTTGGCCAATTAGAGTTCCTAGGATTTTGCTATTCGATCCGAGTGATGCATCAGTGCATTTCTGCATGGTGCTCTAAGGTGATCTGGAAGCAAGGTGACTGCAGGTGGAGGTAGCTGTCAGCACTTCCACACACTTAAAGTGAAGGGAAGCCGATTCTGTCAATTTCCCCTGAAACTAAAAGCCCTTATCTCCATTCCTAGAAAACTGAGGGGATTTCATTTTTGCTTTATTCAGATGAACCAGAGAGGGGCTTCCCTCTGTCCTGACATGTCTTGAGGAAACCCCCCCCACACACCCCATTAAGGGTCCCTGGATCCCAGTATAAGAAACACTGTTTTAATGGTGTTCTACAGGAGCACTCCCTCACTATGCTGTGATATAGAGATAGATGGATAGATTGATACTGGTCTGAGAGCCAGCACGATGTAGTGATGACAGTGTCAAACTAGATCTGGGGGACACAGGTTTCCCTCCCCATTCTGTCACAGAAGCTTGCTGGGTAACTTTTGGCCAGTTACACACTCTCAGTCTATCCTAACTCAAAGGGATTATTGTGAGGATAAAATGAAGAAGAGAGTGCTGTAAACTGCTTTGGGTTCCCACTGGGGAGAAAGATGGGGTATTAATGAAGTAAATAAATAAATGAATTCAGTTGCCTCACGTGATGCAGTCCATATTTCTGTCGATACTGCCCCCCCCAGCAGTTTTGTTAGCCTCCACGACTATTGTGCGACACCCCAATATGGGCAGGGCATGCTCAGCTGCCATTGTGTTGTCTAAACATAAGTTGATAGTCTCCTTCTCATTAGGTTGATCCTGCCTGGTTTTCTGCATGTGCAAAGAGTGATTTTCACAAATCCCCCTCCTCACATTAGCCATATGAGCTTCCCCATTAACTCCAGTCATCTCTGGAGGTCCTGCTTCAGGTGCCCCTGCCATCTCGGGTTAGATGAGTGGCAGTCCAAGAAAGGGCCTTCTTGGTCAAGGCACCAACACTTTGGAACCTCCTTCCTTAGGCAGATTCATCTGTCTCCCTCTATCGATGTCTTCTGCCAGCAGGTGAAAACATTTTTGTTTCATTTGGCATACCCCCAGTAACTGTTATTGGCCCTCCTTCCTGGTTTTAGTGTTGTGTGTTTATGTTTTTATTGAATTATTTTATATACTATTTTAAATGCTGTTTTAATGTTCAAATGTTTTCATGTTTGCCACCTTGGGGGCCCCTATTTGGGTTGGAAAGGCAGCATAAAATGTTTTAATTAAAACAAATAACATGTTTCCCAAAATGCTGCTCTTTGGGAAAGGGAAATCAGAAGTCTCTCATGGGGAGGAACAGGAGATGAATCAGCAAAAACCACCCCCATCCCTGCATGTGGAAATCTAGGCAGGATCGAAGCAACTTGTCTTTTTCTTCATGCCTTACTAGAAGGAGGGGCATTATCAGCATTGCTTTTTTGTTCTTTTACTTTCCCTCTTCTGTGTGCACAAAGCAGGAGAAGACATAGATGTTAGAACATAAAATCAGTCCTGCTGGATCAGATTAAACTCCAGCAGCAGAGGAAGCCCAGGAGTTGGGCATAAAGACAACAGCTTACCTTTGCTCCCCCTCACTTGAGCTGTTGGTGAAGATATTGCCTCTGAGCCTGGCCGTTTCATTTTGCTTTTGGGGCTAACAGCCCTAGAAAGACATATTCTCTGTGAATTTCCCTAATCTTGTTTTAAATCCATCTAAGCTAGTGACCATAACATCTCGAAGCAGTGAATTCCATAGGGTAATTATGTGTTGTGTTTTGTCTGGTCTGAATTTACTGCTAGTAAGTGACCATATGAGTTCTGTATGAGAGGGAGGCAGGTTTCTCTCTATTGGCTCTGTATTTCATAAGGAAAACACATTAGCTTCCTGGACCTCTTTTGTATGGGGAGTGGGGAGGATGCCTTCCAAAATCCTAACGTTAATGAAGTGCAATGCATTTTGCACACATCTTACAAAAGTGCAACACATTGTGCACAGGTTGCGGCCAACCCTTAGAAGATATGTGAGCTCAGTTAATATCTAATGACTTCTGAAGATGCTTAATTGAAATAGTTTCTTAATTACTATGGACAGAGGATTTGCCAAGGATTCAGCTATTGGCAAAAGTTAACTGTTTTTTGTACCTCCTGGAGTCATAACAACTTCAGTTCTTTTTCTGATCACCTTCTGTGTGTTTGTTTCAGCTGCTGTCGAATCTTTGGATTTGTTTTTCTCTTCAGCTGTTCAAGCTGATTCCTGCTAACTATTTTCTATTGTTCCCAGCACAGACCCCGACTCTGAAAAGCCATGAGGAAATGTGGGTTTCAACTATGTAAATCAATTAGCTCTTACCTGTTTTATTTTTATCGAGCCTTTTGTTCTTCCCTTTTAAAATCCTAATGTTGAATGCATACATTTACAGATGATAAAGGGGTATTGTTTGAAAAAATTTCAGATCAGACATTATAATCTAGAGGTACAAGATGTCAAAGACTTCTAAACTCCAAAGCTCACTGTACACCTTTTGAGAGGCTTATAGTGATTATGAGTTTATACATCTGTTTTATACATCAGTAGCTGTAAATTTAATTCATTTCAGTTCTAAAAATGTTTATCCTGCCTTTTCCAAAGTTCCAGTGATGTGCAGTAACAGTATTAAAAACAGAATGATCTGGTAAAAAAACAAGTCAAAGGTTCAAGATGCCCAACAGGAAAAAAAAGCTATCACTAATCAGAAAACACCTTGTGAAAGAAAACAGTTTTGATCGACAAACTGTTCCTGGTATGCTCCACACTTCTCCTGGGCAAGCCATGCTGTAGAGTGGAGCTCTCGCCTACAGCCTCTTGTGATTCTGGCCCACACCAAGCAGATAGAAGACACTGCCAGCAGAGCTTGTTAGACTGGGTTCACACATGCAGGATCAGGGAAGAAGGTAACAGAGATCACAGGTAGTAAAATAAACTGTGGCATTTTAGACTGCAGCTGGTCGAGTTCAACTTTGAATTTTGCTTTGCATTTAAAAAAAAATTCCAAACAGAAAACTGGCATAGCAAGGTTCTGTCCCTTCCCCTTTGCTTGCTGTTTTGGTTTTATGTTCACAGGGTGTTTCTAACCTAAGGGAGCACTCTAAAGTGTGGCTTCTTGAAGCAGTGCAGTCTATTCCACCTCCTCTGGTCTCTGCCACATTGCATATTTATTTGTTTATTTGGAAAATGTATGTGCTGCATTTCCGAACACCAGCTCAAAGTAGCTTACAACTGAAAGGATAGAACTATTAAAACACAGCTTTTGAAAACAAGCGATTAAAAACAAACTGAAGCCTTTGAAAATAAGCCAGGCCTTAAAAAGAGCATAAAATTAACATTGAGTAGCCTAAATACTGATATTGATAAAACAGACCATAAAACAGATAAAAGTTGAACCCTGTAGTTAAATGCCTGGGTAAAAAGGAAACAGGGTAGGTCCCAGGTGAACCTGAAGGGGGAGGCCACTGGAAAAACCCCGTCTCTGGTTGCCGCATGCCTCACCTTTGCAGTCCATGTATGGGACTGAGGTTTCCTCACAAGTGGGCTTATGTAGAGAGCTGCAGTCCTCGAAGAAGGAAAGATTATTCTCTAAATAAATGATGAGTAGGTGCTACATTTCCAAAAAGTTATTTTTCATAGAAAGCTGTTTAGTTACCTTCTGCTGAAGAGTCATTTTCTGTATTATAAGAATCTCTCAAACCCCTGAAACCCATTCTTTCTTATTAGGGTGTTTGGAATCTTTCCATTGTCTGTTTTGAACATTTTAGGTACAATAAACAAAGCAGTTCAATTTTGTGCAGCTTTAAGGTGCCACAACACTCCTGTGACTTGGATTCTGTCAGTGGGTCCTGCATGCACTTTGCTTCTGCCACAGGGCCGCTCGCTTCCTTTGTTGTGAGTACTTCTGTTTGTGGAAGGTCACTGGTTTTCAATGATCCCTTGAGCAAATGGAAGTGCTAGCAGCAGAGGAAGTAAGCTCTGCTATGGCTGGAAAGTAATACATGCAGAATATGTGTTCACAGGATCCAAGTCTTTATAGGGTTTTTTGCTGCAGCAGCCAAACGTGGCTGGAATTTGCGCATTGTGCAGTAGAAAAAATTGCATTGTGTTTGTAGTAATACAGATGACCAAGCAACTGTATGGTAACAAATTTGACCATGTGTCACCTGTATCGATCTCTTTTGGCATATGATCTACTGCAGCTGCAGTTTAAATTCCAATTCAGCACTAGGATTGGGTTATAATCCATCTGGTTGTAGGAAATCATTCAGCAGTTTGGCTTTGCTTACAGTTACCTTAGATTTTTAGATACAGGATTTGGTCCTTGTTTCTATCCAGACACATTGCTGACTGCTAATGAATTATGATTGTGTTGGTAAGATATGAGCAACAGAGGTTCATCAGTTATTTCTCTCATATGTATTTCAGTATCTACAGAACAATGGATGAACCACAAGAAGAATACTCTGACATACATTATGCCTGGTTCATAGCTCATTCTGCATGTGGGGAGCACCTGTGGATATCTAATGTTCTTTGTGATGTGGTGGCTAGTGTACCAGACTAGGAACTGGGAGACATTCAGATCCTCACTCTGTCATGGAAGTTTGCGGGGTGACCTTGGGCCAATCACGCCCTTTCAGCCTAACCTATTTCACATGGTAGTTGTGATGATTAAATTGAGGAGAAGAGCATTGTAAGGCACTCTGGCTCCCAATTGTAGAGAAAAGCAGAATATAAATGAATACTAAGATATGTTTTTTCTTAAATGCCAGCACTTTTTTTTTTTTTAGACTTTCCTGATGTGCCCCCAACTCTACCAGGTCCCTCAAAGAAACCCAAGTTCAGAAGTACACATGTTCACTTTGAGGATCCAGAGGAGCAGATGGATCATGGTGATCAACATATAACAGCGGTCCTCAGCAAAATAATTGTATGTCCTGTCTGTAGGAGTTACAGTAATAGATGATTAAGCATCTTGTGTAGACCATTGAGAAATGCTAAATCCAGAGTTGTGCACCCTAAAAACAAATATTTCAGTGCTCTTCCAATGTAATCCAAACTTTGCTCCAGGAAATGCTGAATTATATAGATTTGCATGTGTGAACTTTTTGTGTAACCTTTTCTGAGAGGGGAGAATTAAAACTGTTTAGACTACTTTACATGAAAAGAACCTCAATAGGACATTCCCTGAAGTTAAGAGGAATAGCTGGTTTAATGGTGACTGCAAAAGAATGAAAAGGTGTATTCAACAGTAGCATTGTGCGTTTAAAACTAACTGTACAATATCAGCCCTTCAAGAGGTGATAGAACTGAAATACATGTATAGAGGACTAAGACAAGGAGACGGATGGCCCTTAACAAGGAATGGGGATATCTCATTTCAGGTATCAGTAGTAATGACAATAAGGCCTTCTGGTCTATCATCAATACTACTATTAACCCAGCCTCTAAAATCCTATATTGTATTGCCGCTTTGATGTGGGAAGTCTATTTCAAGAGGCTATTCTCTGATGCTAAAGTACATCTGTTTTTATTCTTCTTGATGTAACAGCATTGTGGCCCGAGATATCAATTAAGGAGGTAATTTGCCTTATCGAGGGATTAAGATTAGGAAAAACTCTGAGCTCTCATCTAATCCCTAATGATCTATTCAAGGCTGATCCATTATGGTGGGTCAAAGTCCTGGCCCCAGTTTTCACTCAGATTAACATCAGTGGACAAATACCTGATTCATGGAAACATTCTATTATTATCCTGAAAAAGAGGTCCAGAAGGGACCAATCAGCTTTCTCTGTTCTCTAGGAAAACTATATTCTGCTTACTTACTAAAGAAGCTCCTGAATTGGATGGAATCAGAAACCATACTGGGGCATGAACAGATAGGATTTAGGCAGGGTTTTTAGGAACGTTCCCACCTCTCCACATTTCCTCCAACAATTTTTACTCCCTGATTTTGAAATATATAGTACAGCTTAACAGGTGTGTAATACCATTTCTGTATCATCTTCAAACCCTGCTCCTGTATTAACCTAGACGTTGTAACAAAGGGAGGTAACCTAAAAATCCTTTCCCACTCTTCATCCAAAATTTTACCTTGAATATCTGTTTCCCAATATTCCTTCAAAACCTCTCTCGGTGATTTCCCTATACCTAATAAAACCTTATACAATTTTGAAACTATTTTTGCCTTCTCCATATTCTTTCACCAATTTTTCAAAGGGAGTAATAATTCTTTTACCAATATGATTAATTTCTTCCTCCTTCAACAATGAGGAAATTTGATTTTTTTGCAACCAATTCATCCTATTCAAAATATTATTCTCCTCTTCCATCATCCCTTCTGTTCCCCAAATCTTTTTCAACTCTTTTATCGTAATCTTTAATTTATCTCCTACCTCCTTTGACATTGATCCCCTTAACGGGGTAAATTTATCATAATACCACATTCTCCCTCTGAGGTGGAGGCCATCTTGTGGGTGATTCCCATCCATCACTCAGGGAGGCAGGAACAATTCAAACTTCCTGTTTCCTGTGGTGGGAGTCACCCCAGGCTCAGTTCTTTTCCTGCCTCAGTAGGGAGAAGCAGCTTGTTAGGCTTTGCCTATCAATTTCCTGATTTTTCTTGGCTCACTCTTTTATTGTCTCTTCTCTGTTAATTAATCTCTTCACTTATCTTTACTAGCAAAAAAAAAGAATTTTCTTCTCTCCTGTCGTCTCCTCCTCCAACTCCTAATTCGACCTCTTTACTGCAGCTCTCTGTCCCTTAGCTGCATAGCTCTGACCTGAGACCTAGAAATGGACCCCAGGCAGTTAGAGGATAGCTTCCTCGTAGCGACAGAGTCTAACTCTGCCGGTAAGGACCTCTCCGAGACCGCGACTTGAAAGAGGGTCGCCGCAACGCAATGTGGAGAGCAAATGAAGGACGGCGCAGGGAAGCGCGCCAAAACGAAAGCAGCAGGCGACGCTGCCCCACCAGCTGCGGCGGCCATTTTGAAGCAAGCGAAAAATCGTGCTTCCGACCCATAGCCCCTATTAATAAGCCCGCTAATATACAAGGGCATTGTTTTGGCTCCCATGTCGATATGAGCCCAGAGGCTCAATATTGGTGATAGAAATTGGCCTATATAAATCCCTTAAAGTCTGATCTTTCCCCGGTTTAGGAATTAACACCAACCTCAACTCCAACCATGTAGATGGGGTAGTAGATCCATCCAAAATTCCCTGAAACAATTCAGTCATATGTGGCACCAATATATCCTTAAAGTGCTTATAAAACACCGCATTAAACCCATCCAGTCCGGGTGCAGATTGCACATTCATAGATTCTATTATCATCTTTGTGATCCACACAGTCAAAGGCTTTAGCATAGTCAATGAAGCAGAAGTAGATGTTTTTCTGGTACTCTCTTGCTTTCTCCATAATCCAGCGACTGGGAATTCTACTCCCTCACAAAATTGTTCTATATCATAATTTTTAATTCCCTTATTTGCATACAATTTATTATAAAAGTCTAAAAAATTCTCCAATATCTTTTTAGGTTCAGTTTCCAACACCCCTTTATCATCCCTAATCGCCCTTATATTTTTTCTTACCTGGAAATTTCTAATTATATTTGCTAATATTTTCCCTCTTTTCCCTTCAACCTCATAATACTTCTGTTTACTGTACCGTATTTTCAAAGTAGTCCTATTAACATCTAATACATTCAGCTCTTCTCTTTTCCTATTTACTTGTTCCCTATCCTTCTTATTCTTGGATTTCCTAAATTTCTCCTCCAATACTCTAATTTCTTCTTCTATTTCTTTGATCTTCCTATCTTTACCTTTCTTCAGTCTCACTAAATTCTGCATACACACTCCTCTAATAGTAGCTTTCATTGCTTCCCATATTGTTAATGAAGTTTCTGAATTTCTATTCTCCACAAAATATCTTTCTATTTCTTTTTTAATATTACTCTTTCTTACTTCATCTGCAACTAACCATGGGTTAAACTTCCAGAAATAAGGCCTATTAAAATGTCCTACTTGCAAAAACGCTGAAACAGGGGCATGGTCTGTAATCTTAATCATTCCAATAGCCATATCTTTTACCTAATTCTTAACTTCTTGAGAAATTAAAATACCATCCAATCTTGAATAAGTTCCATGAGCACTGGAATAAAATGAATATGAATCATCATGAGGATACATTTCCATCCAGAGTTCCGATAGTCCAAATTTCCCACAGATTCTTTTAAATTTCACTACTTTTCCTTTTTTAAAACTACCTTTCCCTTGCAAATTAATATTAAAGTCACCCCCTACTATCTTCGTGTGAGGCGAAAAATTATCAAGCTTCTGCAAGTACCTATAAAATACATTCAGCTGATGCACATTAGGGAGGTAAATAGAAGCTAAAACCACCGGCTCTCCCTCCAGGTGTCCCTGAACAAACATAAACCTTCCATTCTTATCTCTCAATACTTTATCCTCAACAAAATCAACTTTGGAATTTATTACTATTCCCACTCCTCTACTTTTCGAGGAGCCTGAAGCAATACATTTCTTTCCTTTCCCAAAGCCAGGAAAGTTCACCTCTCTCCCCCCCCTTTATATAACTCTTGCAAAAAGACCACATCAGCTTTTAATTCATGAATATATCTTCCAACTCTTGCCCGTTTCACCGGATTCCCCAACCCTCTCACATTAAGAGTTGTACATATAATATTTACATTCTTTGTCATATAACTACTGACCATTTCTCTTTCCCATATCTTTTCTGTTCTCTACCAGCCTGGAATATTGGTCCCCACCATCCCATTACCAACCCCACCTGTCTGTGCTTATCTACCCAACACCTAAACACCCAATCCCATTCTACCCGACCAAGAGAAAAATTGTATGCCACAACACTTGGCATATCTCTTGTATATTGCATCTGTTGGGTCATGCTAGAGTGTGTGTTGTAAGGAAGTTAATGCTCAAATATTCTGCTTTATTTGTGACAGGAGCATGACACAAGTGCAGGACGTGTGACCATACCATTGTCTACTGGAGATCCATTTCCCAGAGTTTTTCACAGATCGGAAATAAAAACGGAGGTAAGAAACATCTTAACAGGTGTGTGCCATTGAGCTTATCCACTAAAATACTAGAAGACCTCTGGTGAATTACACAGAAGGTTTAGCAAATGGATATTTAAAAGAACAGCTGTTGAAATTACTGTTGTGGATGAGGAGCTTGTCAGAAGGACTGGGCAGCAATTGGTGGGAAACGGGCAAATAGGATGGAAGGAGAGTACTACTGAGGCTGCTGAGCCAGTCATGCTTTGGGAGTCTATGCGGTCATATGGCTTGTTTGGGTTGGGGCTCTGAAGTCTTGCAGGACTCTTGCCTAGTGGTTCCATTCACAGGATATGAACAGGAGGATGGAGGAGAAAACTAAGAGGAAACAGCATCTGAGAGTAGGGTAATCATCTGTCTGAAGAACCTTTTATATTGATTCTGGCAGCTCCAGATGATGTTGAGGCAGGATAAATCCCTTCCCTCTGTAATGAGAGCAAGAGGCCTGATAGCTCTTTACCCTTAAAAAGATGCAGATTTTTTGAGATTATGAGGGATTACTATATTAATATAGTATACTATATCAGTCTTGCCAAATTGGGATCATGGGTTAGGAATTTTTGTTTCATTGTTCTGCTCATATGTGTTGCTTGATGTACTTAAAATCAGTTCGCATAACCATGACACTCAGAACAATGTTTGATAGACAATTAGAGTCTAGAAGGAGCCAGAGAGTCCATTCATCTCAGAGCTTCTCTATGGTTATACAACTTCTTTCACTGCTGAGTGTCTGATAAAGTGCTGAACAGAACGTCCTGAAGCAGAATTATAATTTATTAAAAAATCTAGTATTCCCAATGCAACATTGAAGCAATCTTTGCAAAATGGCGATCCCTAATATCAAAAGATATTACTACACCTCAAGAATGGTGATAGTCACTTATTGGTTCAGGAAGATGACACAAAAATCAATTGGGAATTTGTCCTTGAGTAATTTGTCCTTGAAAAACGTTATGTAGTTGAGTATGGAGAGATAAGCAAATCCACCTTGTAAAAGGATGGAATGCTATTCGTTTGGTCTTCGTTCAAGCTTGGGACAAATATCAAACGTCTTTGGAGTTGAAGCATTCACATTGTATGCCAGTGCTACATAATATAGAATTGGGACAAGCTTATGATCAGAGTAATTTTTAATCATGGATGGAATTAGGTTTGGCAAGTTTGGTTGATTATTATTAAAGAACATAAAATTGTCTCCTTTGATGAAATTCAACAAAATCGGGTTATATGTCCAGTATATCAGTATCTCCAGATCAGAAGTTTTACGAATTTCAAACAAACCCCGATGGATATATTTGTCCCTTTGGTGAATACAGATAAGAAACCTTTGGTTTACAAGAACAGTTGGGGAAAAGACCTTTTGATAAATATCTCTCATGATTCATGGGCTGGTTTAAATGAGGATATGCTTTGAAGACATTGAATATAAATGTGATGGAAAACATGTTAAAAATCATGTATTTATTTATTTGGATTTGTATCCCCCCCTCCCTGCATAGCAGGCTCAGGGCGGGTTCCATCAGACACAGTAACCAATATACACTATACAAAGAATTAAAAACAATTAAACCCCCCAATAAAATACAACAACATTCCTATGGCACAAATCATGGTCAAAGCCTCACAGATGCAGTCTATTCTGAGTTTGTGTCCTTAGATAGTAATACAGATCTGATCTGCTGAGGGGAGGCCCAATAGAGAGGGGGGATGCCCACTGCCCTAACTAAAAGCCTGGTGGAAGAACTCTGTTTTGCACGCCCTGCAAAACGTTAAAAGGTCCCACGGGGCCCTGATCTCATATGGGAGCTCATTCCACCAGGTAGGGGCCAGGGCTGAAAAGGCAGATGGTAAAGTGGTTGGCAGATCGTAAAGCCCTTCAGGGCTCATAGAGGGAAAGGTGGTCTCGCAGATATGCAGGTCACTGGCCGCACAGGGCTTTAAAGATGAGCATCAACACCTTGAAATGGATCTGGTACTCAATAGGCAGCCAGTGCAGTTTGCGCAGCAGCAGGTGGATCAGCGTCGCACAGATGACAAAGTCAGCACACATGCTGCTGTGTTCTGCACCAGCTGCAGCTTCTGGAGCAGAATCAAGGGCAGCCCCACATAGAGGGAATTACAGTAGTCCAATCTGGAAGGGACCATTGCATGGATCACTGCTGCCAGGTCCCAGGGGTTGAGATATGGGGCCAACTGCCTCATCTGTCTAAGATGGAAAAAGGCAGACCTGGGAGTGGTGGTGACCTGGACTTCCATAGTTAGTGAGGTGTCCAGGAGCACCACCAGGCTCTTCACCTTTGATGCTGGCACCAGTAGGGCCCTGTCAAAGGTTGGGATCCTCAATCCCAGTCCCCTGTGACCCAGGTACAGGACTTCTGTCTTCAATGGATTCAAGTTCAGTCTGCTTTGTTGTAACCATCCAGCCATGGCTTGTAATGCCCTGTCCAGATTTTCTGGGGCAGAGTCCAGGTGGCCATCCATCAGTAGATAGAGCTGGGTGTCGTCAGCATATTGGTGACAACCCAGCCCATACCTCCAGATAATCTGGGGAAGGGGGCGCATGTATATATCAAACAGCAATGGGGAGAGAATCAACCTCTGTGGTACACCACATTCCAGCAGGTGTTGCTGAGGTAACTCCCCCCCCAAGCAACACACTCTGTCCCTGACTTTGGAGAAAGGAAGCCAGCCACTGCAAGGCAAGCCCCTTTATCCCCACATCGGTGAGGTGGTGGGTCAACAGATCATAGTCAACCATATTGAACACTGCCAACAAATCAAGAAGTATCAGTAGTAGTGATCTGCCTTGATCCAGGTATTTCCAGAGGTCATACAACAAGGCGTCTCCATCCCCTGGGCAGGGTGAAAACTGGACTGGAAGGGATCCAGTATATTAGCGTCTTCCAGGAAAGCTTGGGGCTGTGTCGCCACCACCTTCACCATTACCTTACCCAAGAACAGTAGATTAGACACTGGGCAGTAGTTTGTAAGGACCGTAGGGTCCAGGGATGGTATTTTTGAGGAGACGATGGACCACAGCCTCCTTCAATCCCTCTCGGAAGGGTCCTGTTGTATGGATAGTATCTAATACCAGATAGAGAGTAGCCAAATTTGAAGCACCTTTACAAGGGTGCGTGAGATGTAACAACAAAATAGGCTCTCTCTTTCATATTTGTGGCAGTGCCCAAGAACCATGACTTATTTAAATTTTGGAAAAAATCACAAGAGAAAAGTGATCATGCGATCCAAAATGGAACTGTTGGAACTGCTCCCCAAACAGTTGAAATCAGGTACAAAAGTTTTGATTAACAATATACTCATAGCAGTATGCATGATACTGGCACAGTATTGAAAACAGGATAAATTGCCAAGCTCAATAGTTTGCATTCATAAAGCATGGTTCATGACAGCCTTTGGACAGTTGTAGGAAGCGAAATGAAATGTGCAAGAAATTCTTATTAATGTTTGGCATTTCTTCATTTTATAGTGGAATCAGATCAAATGTGAGGAGTAAGTTAGAGAGGTAATTCTGCAGTGTATATAAATGGGCTATGGATTATACCATATAACTTTTGTAAAGTTGTAAAGGCACACTCACCTGCTCATCTTCTAACATTGTATATGCTATTAAATGCCAACAATGCCCTTCAGTTATCTACATAGAGCAAACAGGTCAAACCTTGCGTCGAAGGATAAATGGATATAAATCTGACATCAAAAATCACAAAACTGAGAAAGCTGTAGGAGAACATTTCAGCCTCCCAGGCTGCTCAATGGGGGACCTCAAAGTAGCTGTTTTATCACAAAGGAATCGCAGAAACAGACTGGAACGGGAGATTGCTGAATTCAGCACTCAGGATAACAGGCTTACAGAAGGCTTAACAGAGATATCAGGTTCTTATCTCACCATGCATGCTAAGTCACTCTGTTCTTGCTTATACCCAGAATTAAACTTTATTGGTTTTAAAGGTGCCACTGGACTCATACTTAGTTGTCACATGTGTTTGTTAACTATTCTATTATCTATATGCTAATTTGCTGCTATTCACAGGTCTTACCAACTGCTTTAATCCAATCGTAGCTATACTTATCACGCAGTTACTTATGCATCTTGACTTTAATTAGCACTTCCTGGCAACTGCCCCTCCCCACTTATATGTAATGGTTGAGGAAGTTCTAGTATTCCCTCTCTGTGTGCTGTTTACTTTTGTTTAAAATAAGCTTCCATTATATATGACTGGGCAGATTCATGCATAAGTGCACATCCCATTTGGTCCTGAACTAAAAAAGCTTCCTCTGTTCTCTTGACCCAGCAGCGTATCCCTAATTCAGAGAACCCTATCCACCTTGCACAGGTGCGTACATCACGTAAAGAGAACTCAGAACTGTGATAATAAATATGTGATATCTTATCCAATTTGGCCTGTGGGTGACAGGGGGAACGTTTTCCTCTATCCCTTTTCCACAGTCTGTAGTGCCTGTCTCCCTTCCAGAAGTACAAACAACATGTTTTTGAAGGCTCACTGCTCATTGTGTGTGCGTTTGTGTGTAGATAATATATCCTCTATTTCTCTGCCTCTCCCACATCTGCAGTACCCACATTCAGATGGTATAAGCAAAATGGTTACTCTTTGCAGGCAAGCAGGCATGGCTCCGTAATAGAGAATGGAATAATAAGCAAAGAGGACCCAGTCACACTTCTGTAAATTCAAAGAAACCTCCCCAAACCACTGGGGGAGATATGGCAGAAACATTTGTGAATTCTTCTGCTTGGAAGCCCCCCCCCATCAGATTATCTGCTAAATCTCTCTCTCCTCTCACTGCTCTGCCCACTATCCTTGTTGTGTGAAACTGTGAAAAAGCAGAGAATTGCAAGAGAGAACACTCAACATTTCCAATGCTATGCAGAGATTTCTGACAGTCACTGTTTTTAGAATTTGGATTTGGATTATTTATTTAATTTTGTGTTAGCTTGCTCTTTGGCCCACCCTCCAAAAGCCAACTTTCCTTAAAATTTTGCATTATGTACACTTTTAAAAAATATTAGTTAAAAAAGAAGTTAATTTAGTAATGGTTTTTAGCTCTTGGCACCCCTGTTTTTACCAACATATTCCTTCATGTTATTAGAATTAAGATTTCTTCCATATTCCTGGGAATCTGGGCCTCCTTCTTAGCCTGTGGGGTTGTTTTCCTTTGGCTGTATTAGGCCAGGGCTTAGTGGTTTAGCACTGATGTGCTGCTGGCCTGTTCTTTCATGTTCTTACTAGAGAAGCTGCAGCCAGAATTGGCAGCCACTGTCTCTCTGTGGTGGCTCCCATCAGCCTCGTTATTAGAACACTAGGAGGCAATGGCTCAGAAAGCAAAACTGAGCTAGGAAGTGAATTGGTATCCTGGGAGACAGTTTGTGATTGATGGGATGGAACATTTGAAGTGCTTGTTAAGGGGAAGGCTTTTGTCTTTCCAGTACCCTGCAAAGTTTCCTCCTATAAGAATTGCAGTGTACAATGTTGGCTTGTTTGGTTATGAATTTTGAAGGTGACATTTTTGTCCCTGGTTTTTCATCACCAGACAAAAGTCACTGAATGGGATCCGGAGATCCTCTTCTACATACAGAAACAGGCTTCTGCATGATGAACAGTTATTTTAGTTCTTGCATAAGGAAAGCATCCCCAGAAACTCTTCAGCATGTGCTATATACATTGTGCGGCCTTAGTACGCAGCTGTCTCTTTTTTTCTTTCTCTCGCAGCTCTCTGAATCCCTACCATGAAAGTGAATTTGGTTCGTGCAGCCTTTTTCATGGTTTCCTTGTCACTAGTCAATAACCTTGTGACAGAGCTAGAGTACAAACGGCATGCAAATTGTAAAAAGGCATTGTGTTGGTTAAGCATTATTAATCCAGTCTTTTTAGTGTGAATTTCTTGCACTTACAGTTTGCAAAACTTTAGCATTGGCCTTTCCAAGATGTTGAAGTGTGTTCTCAAAAATGCAAAACATTCAGATAAGTAGACTCTTGGGATCAGTTGTGGAGAAAAAGTTCTCGTGTATTGTGGGATCGGAACAAATATGCCTCTAACTGAATGGTTTCTTCATCTTGCCAAGAAATGTGCAGCTTTCTCTTTCCTTCCATTTTTACCTGTCAAACTGTAAATTTATTTAAATATAGTGAAGAATGAAGAAGGACTTTAGCTTTTCACCAATTAAATGTCTTCCTTCTTTTGGGTCCCTTGGGATCTTGTCTTTGTAGCACCCTAAAAACTAACTATTTTATTTGGGACTGTGTTTGATTGCAGTTGGTAGTCTTAAGTACTGGAATGACAGTTTCCAAGTACAAAGCAATTTCTTATTTCAATGTGTCCCCTACATTGTCATGGGTAACACTGAAAAGGATAATATATGAATTTTATAAATAATATATGTGCTGTTGGAGGAATTAATGAAAATTTCTAAAATAATGTTGTTTTTAGAAGTAATTGTTGAATATGCTTATTAACCATAGGCTTTTTCCATACAGAGCTTTTGCTCCAATTTCATGTTTAAACTGGAGCAGGTTTTATTGGCGTATCCACACATATGTGGTGGGGGAAGAGAGACGGCGGTTATGGGGGGCTGGGGCAGCAGAAGCAGTGCCAAAAATCATTACAGTGTGAATGCAGCAGTAGTTGGTACCAGTTGATAAACTGTTCTAGGTTAATAGGATAATTAGGAAAAGTAGAGGAGAGTTTACTGCCTCGTCTTCTTGTAGGCAAAACCAGAAGCTGGAAGGAGAAGTATTTTTTCTCAGAAGATAGCTGCTAAGAGAGCAGCTGAAGTGGCTCAAGCATCCCCTCGAGCTGGGCAGAAGGACACAGAACGGACAACTCCAGATGCTCCCCCGCCTCCTGTGGCCTTGGAGGCACAGCTCTTAAGAACTGAAGAAGGTGAATGGAGGAATCTTTGGAGCGAGTGTTGTCAAATGCTGAAGCAGGGAGCCTCCCTGAGTCCTAATGAAAACTTTTCTCCAGGTCTCCTCAGGCAGAACACATGGTGATTCCTTGGCCTTAGCAATGGAAGGGGAAAGCAGAAGAGACGGATAATCTACTCCTGGGCTCATGGAAGCCTGAGAGGACTTCTAGGGAGGGAAGACAATGAAGAAGATTGCCGCACTAATGGTGAAATCCTAAGCAGAGTTACACCCTTATGGCTCCATTGAAGTGAACGGCCCGAGAAGGGTGTGATTCTGCTTTGGATTGCTGTTCTGTAACTCCTGGCATTAATCAGCAACCTGAGGGAGTAGCAAACCATTTCTTGTTGTGGTATTGGGAACGGCTTGGTTGACTCTGTTTCTCATGGCACAGACTTCTGGAGTTCTAGCAAGTTTGTCCATGGTCTCTGCAGGAATACCTGTCATGTGCTTTGGGAATTGGTGCCAAGGAGTGTGGAGTTCCTATGTGCTTATCGAATTTCCTTTTTCATGTGCCTTCTTGTCATGTGGCCGAAAAGCTTTCCCATCTTCTTGTGGTTTTGTTTGGCTAAAGCTTAGGCTCTGTCAAAAACACCTAATTACGCTATTCAGTCCTAAATCTCAGTTTTAGTCTCATATAGAAATAGAATAATTGGATAAGAAAAAGGATGGGTAGGATGGGCAAGCCATAGTTCTGATAGGAGCTGTTCTTGAAAAAGAGCAGTTTCTGTCAAGAGCTCTCTCAGCCCCACCTACCTCTGTCGTGGGGAGGGGAAGGGAAAGGCGTTTGAAAGCCGCACTGAGACACCCTTGGGTAGTGAAGGGCGGGATATAAATCCAAGCTCTTCTTCTTCAAATTAGTGTAGAAGTACTTTTTTTTTTGTCTCTAATGGACATAAAAGAAGTTGCTGTCAGGGTAGCATTTTAAGATTCTTCTTAAACATAGATCGTAATCTACGTGTGTTACTGTAGACAATTTTATCTGTACTTCTTTCAGAAAGGGGTGATCTGCTGATTTACAAAAAAAATTAGGTTCAGTGCTGGGTGCCATTTTGTGTAGTCGTAGTCACACATAGATTAATGTTTGAGACAAATATGTATTGGCTGCCTCTCCATATATCTGATTGAGACGGCACACAAGAAGGGGTAAAACAACAGTGACAATAAAAACAATGTTGAAAAATTACTTACAAAAACTAAATGAACAACTCGTACAGTAGAACAGTTTCAGTTTATATGCCAGAATGTTATGTAAAATGATAGCCATCCCTATGTAAGCATGTAAAAAGCCATAAAACCACCTTTCCCTTAGCAACTAGACAGCATAATGCAACTATCATAAAATGCCCTAAAAGTACTAATTAACAAGTAAAACAAGAGAATTGGTAGATTAAAAAAAACCGTTCTGCAATAAAACCAGGCCAGGAAAAAAACCTGACTAAAAGCTCTGACAATAAAACTGTCTTTAACTGGCTCTTCAAAGGTAGAAAACTAGATGCTGAATGACCTCTGCAAGGAGGACTGTGGAGGCAGCTCCAGGGGAAAACCCCATCTGTGTTTCACACTCACCTCTCCTCTAACCCAGCAGGAGATGGTTGTTGTGCTTCTTCTAGCTCAGGAGATTTGTTTACTACGAGTCTATCACTCACAGTGTTCTTCATTTCTAGAAAACTCTGTTGGTACCTTGCATACTCAGCAGCCTCGTATTGTCACTGGTGAGGGCCTTGGAAGCCTGGCTGGTGAGCAGGAAGCCCAGAAGATCCATGAGGAGAACTTGGAGAGGCTGCAGTCTATGTCCAAGGAAGAGATACTGGAGGAGCAAAAGCGACTGCTGGCTCAGTTAGGTATGAGCAAATGCTCAGGTATCTGGGAAAGGGATAGGAGCAGCTTGCTAATTTCTCTTAGCTGAATGTCTAAGTTGATACACAACAGAGAACACAGCATTTTATTCATTCAATAGTTTGGATTTTTGTCTCCTTCAATATGGAAGGTTTGGGGCAGTTTACAACTATTTAAAAAGCACAACATAAACTCTACACACAAGTCACACGCACATATACACACATACCTGTCCAGAGAATCTCATTTCGCAGGTTACAGTTTAAACAAACAGAATTGCTCCCATGAATTCTTTTTGTGCTTGAAGATTTCTTGTTAGAATATACAAACAGGCCCATGAACTGTAAAGTGGCTTTCAGTGTCCGTGCTTAAAGGACAGAATTAGCAGCGCGCGCACACACAAATACAAGGTCATGTCTTGTTCCTTAGTGTGGTCCTGTGTCTTTGATATACGATTTGGAAAGCTTCTCTTAGTCTGAAGGCTGGGTAGCTTTTGCCAGATTTGATAGGGAGAACTGAAGCATACATTTATTTATGTATTTCATTTATAGTATGCCTTTCTGGCTGAGGCTGACGGCCAGTTACAACAAGAAACAATGCTGCAAGGTTGATATAATACCTAGAGCCAAAAATATTTATCTATTTATCTATTTAATTTAATAAATAAATAAAAATATAGACAATAAGCAGCATTACCAGACTGGAAGACTAATGCAGTGAAACATTAGATACATAGAATATTATTACACAGATTGAAATCTGGATTAAAATTAGAATACAGTGTAAAAAACAAGATTTACCTTAAATTCTGCAGATCTTTACATTAATTTTAGTTGTTTTATATGAACAGCTCTGTCTCAAAATCTTAATGCTGTACTATCACATTTCCATTGTTGCCAGACCCCAATTTAGTCACTTTCTTAATGTCACGACGTGGTATTGACACAAGTCAGAAAAGAGATGAGAAAATGGAATTAGAGAAGCCAGAAAAGCTTGTGCATTTGGAAACGTGGTCCAGATCCCAGCATGAGACTGAGGAAATTGCAGAAGCTCCTTTCTTTCAGGAGCCAGCAATGGATGATGAGCCAGACACAGAAGACTCCCAAAGGGCTGAAGCTTGCATAAGAATGAACGTCTCAGGTAAAGAAGTGTGTTTATCTTGATTCAGATGCCAGGCTTCCAGTTGTCTGGGTCATATTCAATGCTCAGTTTTGGTTGGTGCTGCTTATGGACTGTATAGAGGCCACAAATTCTCCACTCAGATCTGGAGTCCAGCAGTGCCATCCTAAGCAGTTACTCTTCTAAATCCATTGACTTCAATGGACTTGGCACTGGTAATGGGACTGTTTTTGTTATGGATAACAAATCATATTTTAGAAGTAGGAGAGGGCCAGCCGCTGGTTGGGGGTGGGGAGGAACTTCACATGAAGCCTTGGTAAGGGCAGTTTTACATGCCGCTCTTTGCTGCTGTTGCATTTCTCTCTGGCAGGGGGGTGGCAGAGAGGTAAACGTGTGGCCATTAGAGATGCTGTTGCTGACAGAGTAACTTTGAATGGCACCTTTATTTCTTTGCTGAATGTGGGAACAATCAATGGGTTGTGTGTGTGCGTGTGGAAGGGGAACTGGCTGCTGATTCATTCACCCCTGCTGTTATGAACTGGTCCTCATGAACTGGCACATTTAGAGGGCATCCCTGCCACTTTCCACATTTGGGACTCGGTGTTCTGCTTCTGTTTGGAGAATTCTTCTTTTTCTTATTATTTACAAAATTTATATCCCACCTTTCTGCCCGTACAAGGTCCACCAAGGTGGCTAACAATTTAAAGCATACATGGTAAAATTATATTATAGAACCATTAAAATCCCTCCTGAACATACATAATAACTTGGGGGGAGGACCCAAGATGGAGACTGATGCAGACACCAGATGCTGAGCTCTGCGTTTTAATTATGGTTTTTAACCTGCAAAATATTCCCTCTGATGCATCATAACTTTTAAAAGAGAAAAAAAACTGGTCAGGAAGGGTGGGATCATTGAAGTAATGTCAAATGAAACAAAAATATCTTCACTTACTGGTGGAAGACTGCAACAAAAGGGTACAGAAGAACCTCCCTGGGATGAGAGTTGTGGAGCTTTGATGCCATGACCAAGAAGGCCCTCTCCTGGGTTGCAGTCCGCCTGAGCCAGTTTGGTGTAGTGGTTAAGTGCACGGACTCTAATCTGGGAGAACCGGGTTTGATCCCCCACTCCTCCACTTGCAGCTGTTGGATGACCTTGGGCAAGCCATAGTTCTGTTAGAGCTGTCTTTGAAAGAGCAGTTCTCTTAGAGCTCCCTCAGCCCCACCTACCTGTTGAAGGGCGGGATATAAATCCAAACTCTTCTTCTTCTAATCTCAGAGGGTGAGGGCACCCAAAGCGTGGTCTCTGAAGATGACCATAATGGTTGGGTGGGTTCATAAGGGATTAAGCGGTCCTGCAGGTATGTTGATCCCAAACTGCATAGGGTTGTGTAGTTCAGGACCAGCACCATGAATTGTGCCCAGAAAGAATGTGAAAACCACTGTAGGTGGGCCAAGACTAGAGTGACGTGGTACCTATGACTCACTTCAGTCAACATTATTATTATTGTTATTATTATTATTGTTGTTGTTGTTATTATTTTCAATTTATACCCCGCCCTTCCTACCAAGGCATGCCCTACCTCACTAGCTCTGTCTACAAACCTTTTTTTTATTGAAAGCTGTTTCTGGTCCTAGCTTTTATCTCTGATGCCCAGAAGCAATGCACTGTAGTTAATGAGAAGCTGTAATATTGGGGATCCTGGCAGAGGCTTTATAGGTGGAATAAAACAGCCTTTTAAGTTTCAGTAAGGGAATGGATTTATAAGGTGAAGAAACAGCATGGACAGACTGGTTTCAGGAAGAGGTAGGCAGCGTCTTCTAAAGCTGCCAGTGCTCATAACTTGCTTGCCAGCTAGGTTTGGTTAGAAAATGGATTGGTGGGAGAACCTACAGAAGATGTTGATATTATTGATATCTGTAGTATTGCTAAGTTTGCTCAGTCCATTAAGAAGTTATTGTTGTTTCTGGGAAGGAGACCTACTGCAATACTGTTCGACAAGAACTTGCTGTGAGCTTAAGACTTCTGTAGTATTTCTGGAGCTTGCAACCTATCAAATGAAATGCCACCTTCTGGCTGTACAGGAGGGCCTGATGGGCACACGAAGAACTTCCTAGTTTTGCTGCCTTCCTGGTAAGAGCCAAGGAGTTTTCAGACACTTGGCAGGCGATAGTACTTGTCCTGTGGTCTGCGGAACTGGGTTAATGAATCACAAGTGGTGAGCTGATGCAGTGTAAGGATTACAGTGATTGAGGAAGACTGGGAAGACTCTGGTTCAAATCCTCACTTAGCCGCAAAGCTTACTAGGTGACCTTGGGGCTGTCACTCCTCAGTCTAGCCTACCTGTTAGGAGGGGGGAACCAAGTAAGTTACCTGAACTCCTTGGAGGAAGGGTAGGGTAAAAATGTGAAGGGTACTAGAAAATTTATGCAGGCCTTTCCTTAGCTTCAGAGATTCCTTCCTGTAATTAGATCCCTTTCTTCATTCCCTCCCTTTCCCCCACCTTCTGGCTTACCTCTTTTCTTGAATTCCTTATATGATGACCTGCTCCCCTTTCCCTTCCTCTGAGACATGATTTTTTTCCTCAGTTTCTATTTTTTTCTGACTGAACAGCCCTAGTGGTCTGTTTTCTTCTTTCCTGAAGAACTCTGACTGTCCCACCCTGTCTCAATAAGATATTTTACTGCTGGCTCAGCCCAGGAACCTGAGGGAAGGTTCAAGATTGTCCTTTAACTTAAACCACTGAAAATGGCACTTGAGAAATTTTGAAATTCAAAATTAACAAAATATTTTATACACTGTAAAGGGGAAAGGTCAGGTGAAATCAGGGGTTGAAATTTCTGAGGTAACTCAATATAGATAACTCAGGTAAAACTAGTACATGTGCAGACTTTAGTTCTTATGTTTCAGGCTAATTAGAGTTTCTTAAGCTATTTACAGTTTCTTAAATCTTTATGTTGAGGGGCTTTTGTTCCAGTGTTTTCCCCAAACATTCCAGTACACTTTCTTTGAGTATTCTCTGACTCTTTTGGTTTCCAGAAGGCTGGTACACTCTTTTCAGTACCCAAACCCTTTCTTTTGAAACACCAGTTCTCATCTTGAATTTTTAACTGATTCTTAAGGTCTCTAAAGGCATTTTATAACCACACGAGACCAGGGATCTCTTTGCTCTTCAGAGCTAACTCCCTGTTTGACTAGGTAGGGAAATTCTCCTGTCACTAGAAGATCTATCCCCTTTCTTTGTTCTTCACCTACTTCCCAAACTTCCTTGCCAACTTTCCCCCAGTTCTCAGTCTGTGTTAAACTGCTCTCAGCTAAGGCTGTGTTAAACTACTCTCAACTCTGTCAAGGCAGAAATCTGACTGACTCCTCAGCATGCAGCTCCCTTCTCTGCTCAGCTGATGCTAACCAATCAGATTGTTTGGAGCAAACTGTCACTCAAGGCTCTCTGGTTCTGTGAAAAATTAACCCTTCACAGTCCTTTACTCTGTTTGTACAACACTTCAAAGCTTTTAAAATATGCAGTCTGTCATACCTTACCTCTTCCCTTCCCCTCCACCTCTTGTCATTTCCTTGCTGTTTCCTTCTCTGATCTTTTGTTTTGCTGGAGGCTGCTTAAAGAGATCTATGAATTGCTTTTGGATTTCACCAGTATGGTTTGGTGAGATAACGCTGGTGTTTACAGCTGCCTTGTTGAGAGAGCAGCTTTCATGTTTAAGAGGAGAGAGCAGGTGGATTAGCACTTTCAGAAGAGTGTGCCTTTCCCCCTTTGCTTATTCCTGTTTCTCTGCCATATTTTCTCCCCCCCCCTTCCTTTCCTGCACCTGGTTTAATTTTTAGCAAGTCAGTGCTAAAATAAAATAATATATAAGGTGCACTACTTTATGTGAAGTTTTGATCTGTTTTCATCAGATGCAAACAATACTTTGGGCCAAATAGTTTTTAAAACATGTAGAACAATCAGTAGCAATGGACTGATGAGTCAGGTGAAGTGTAAGTAGAAAATCAGATCTTGGTTCTTGGAGCAAGAAGAGTATATTGGGCCAAGAGAGGGTTATTTCTGGAGGAGACCAAGTGCCATCCTAAGCAGAGTTGTACCCTTCTAATGCCCCTGAAATCAGTTAGCTTCAAAGGGGGTAACTCTGTTTAGGATTACACTGTTGTTATATCACTGAGGAGAGAGGAGCAATTATAAAAATCAATGGAGCATTTCAAGCTGCCTGAGGTTATGCATGTGGCACATTGTGCCCAGCAGGAGAACTAATATTAATTTTGCATTAGCACTTAGCATTGGAAGACTGCCACTGTTGATGCCAAGGAGTATATTTGTCATGAATAAACAACAGCAGTCGTGATTTTAGAGGAGAGAGGACAGTCTGCTCTTATGACTGTAGGGTAACGATTCATTTAAACTGTGAAGCTCATTGCTAATGGGATGGAAAGCTTGGCTTCTAATGCATGAGGTCCTATGTTCCTTGTTGAGTCACATTCGGTAGGTACATGTTGTTATTCTTCTATCAGGGAAAGAAAAGGAGTGGATGGATCTATCTTATTCCTTATTTATTGATTGATTTCCATTTTTATCCCACCCTCCCCTCGAACAGGCTCAGGGAGGCTTACATTCATTGGTACAAAGTACCGTAAGTCCACATAAAACACATAAAAACAGTTAAAACATTTTGAACAGTCAAATAATCACAGTGCTAACAGTAGTAGCCATTCTTCATCGATAAGATGGCGTATTATATGATGTAACTCACACAATTTCCAGCTCAGTAAACTTCCGGCATCACACGATGATATAACTGATCTCCAAACCAGGGCCAACCCGCTACCACAGATGTTGGTGGTAGCGGTGGGCAGCTCCTAACTGAAAGCCTGGTAGAAGAGCTCTGTCTTGCAGGCCCTGTGGAACTGTAAAAGATCCTGCAGGGCCCTGATCTCTTCCAGGAGCTCATTCCACCAGGGTGGAGCCGCCACTGAAAAAGCCCTGGCCCTGGTGACAGCGAGCCTGGCATCCTTAGGGCCTGGGATGGTCAATCGATGTTGAGACTCCAACTGTAGTGCTCTCTGGGGTATATATGGGGAAAGGTGGCCCCTCAGGTATGTCAGACCCTGGCCATTCCTTTGTCTGAGAGACAGTTCCACACATGCATGTTCACAATGTGATGACTGCAGCGTCATGGATTGAGTTGTATGTGTGGTTGGGCCACCACAGATCAAGCATCACAGACAGAACTTCCATATCACTTTGTATTTCCTCAAACATAATGTTTTCCCATAAAATTGGTTCATACATTTGCTTGGTAGTCACCAAATGCTGTGTGGTCAAATGATGGTCCTGAAGTACTAACTTCTGCCTTTGATCATCAGACTCAGTAACCCAATATTTATTTGTTAGATTTGTATCTCAAAGCATCGTGTGAGCTTTGTGAGCTAAATGAGTCTGATGGAGAATGACTGGCCCAAAACTGCCCAGGGACCTTTATTGTTCAGAGGACAGTCAGTGTGGGTTACTCAGAACTACCACCCTGATCTCCCATTGTGCCAGAACAGTGCATCCTATGGAGTGTGGTAGAATCCTGGAAGATTGTCTAGCAAACATTTCCTTCCTCCAGGTTTGCTTCACGTAGTCATGGCAGAGAGTCCTGTAGTGTGTGGTTACAGTGTCACATTAGAACTGGCGAGTACCCACCTTCAGACATCCACTGTGAAGCTCACTGGGTGACTCAGGGCCAGTCCTTCTGGAGTGAACCTTGCACTTTAGAGGTCATGGGTCGTTAATGGTTTCCTTGTCTTGCCAGGTTTTCTGGCCCCTCTGACTTTCCTAAGCCCTCAGGGCAATCTCTTTGGCTTTTGGACTTCTTTGGCTTTTGGACCTCTTTGGCTTTTGGACTTCAGTCACAAGCTCTGGCACAGCTGTCCTTGAAAAAGAGCAGTTTGTGTCAGAGTTCTCTCAGCCCCACCCACCTCACAGGGTGTCTGTTGTGGGGAGGGGAAGGGAAAGGAGTTTGTAAGCCGCTCTGAGACACCTTTGGGTAGTGAAGGGCGGGATATAAATCCAATCTCTTCTTCTTCTCTTCTTAACAAGGGGCCATGTGCATAATGGAGATTTTTCTCTCAATGAGGAGGAGGGATTAGTTTTTTCTTTTCCTACCTAAAGCTCTAAGGGGAAATTTGACTGCTGACTGAAAGGGGGCACCTCAGCAAAGATCTCCCCATCCACGAGGTTCTTTGACTGCTGCAATGCCTTTGCTTTGTCTCAGCCCAACCTATTGTACAGGCTTGTGTTAAGGACAGTATGAAGGACAGGAGAATCATATAGGCTGCTGGTGGTACTAAGGGTGGATTGAAAGTATGATACAGTTAGGTAGATGGTGGTGAGCACAAGTCTGTTGTTGAATCTGGGCTCTGGAAGGACAGAACTTCTGCAAATGGGGAGGGGGGGATCATGCATGATGGGCCATGTTTGTTAAACAGGGTATGTTAGGAGCCAGGTTTGCAGGAAATGGTACTATGTGCTGATGTGTGTTGCCCGCCCCAATCTGAAAAAAATAAAATCCAAGTTCGGAAAGGTTCAGTGTGAATTCACCATCCAGGCTGCCAGCTTGTGTTTCTATAAAGGGGTTTCTCAGCAGTTGAACAATCTGCTGGTGCCTTAGAATATGTGTCAGTCTTTTTTCCTGTTGACAAGATTGGAGTGCTAGTGTCTGATGGTACACATTACTAATCCTATTCAGAGCATGATTTAATCAGCCTTCTTCATTTAGTGATTAACTGAGAGGGGAAAATATTGTTGAATTACAAATACCAGAGTTCAGTTTTCCGCTGATTTCTGTTTGCATTTGCTTCACACCCACAACCCTGATATGTTAATTTTTCATTCCAGCATTTTGTAGTGTGTGTTTAAGCCCAAATTTAACGGGCTAGTCATCTCCAAAGACAGGCAGCTAGCAGACCTGTTGTTTCCACTGGAAGTTCAGTGTGTGCATGAACAAGACATTCACAGTTTACTATTCTTATGGGCTTGTGTGGATCCATTGAAATCTGGGTTAAAGAATATAGATTATATGGAGCTGCCTCCACAGTCATATTTTAGGCTTATTTAAAATACTTGCAGAACAGGGATTAGCCTGGATTGAATTTGGGTGCAGTGTAGTCGTTTATCACACTTTATTTATTTTTGTACATTTAGTGGTTGCTTTGCAATGACAAGCTGCCCCCATTTTTTGTTTTTAAAATGTACTGTACAAAAATAGCAGTACAAAAATGGAGTGTTAAAGAGAGTCAGAGGGGTACAATAGTTATTGTGTCAGACTAGTCAGGTTCAGATGATCCCCACTCTACCATGGAGGCCTGCTGGGTGACCTTGGGTCAGTCACAGACTCAGCCTCACCTACCTCACAGGGTTGTTGGGAGGCTAAAACGGAGGAGAGAAGAACCATGTAAGTGGCTTTCGGTTCCTGTTGGAGAGAAGGGCAGGCTATAAAGGAAATAAACAAATAAAAACATTAACAAAATAAAAAGGATACCACCATCTGAAATCGAAGATCAAAAAAGGAGTAGCATCTATACCAGTAATCAGGAAAAGAACCTGTGCACATAAGATGGTCTTCACGTGTGGTAGGAGCAGCATGTGCTTGGATCCTGATCAGTGTTCGACTGCTGCCTTTTCAAAAAGAGAGTTTGTGGTGGCACAATAAGTGGCTGAGCGCTCAGATAACTCTTTTTACTGTACCTCAGATCCAAAAAGAAATGGGTAATTGTTGAAAGTAAGCCCCCAAATGTGTGTATGAATCCAGCCTCTTTGGGCAGTTACTAGTGTTTTGTTTAACTTGATTCAGTTCCTGACTCTGATACTGCCTGTGAATGTAGCTTCTCGTCTGACAGTCAGAAAGTAATACAGTGTATAAATCTCTCAAAGTTGTGAGATGTTAGCATCTGTCCATCCTTTCATTGTTCCTTTTAATGCATAGTCTATAATGGTAAATAATTGATCTCCGTGGTGATCAAGTCTAATGTTGGCTGTCATCACTGTCTATTGTGTAGTGTCATTGAGGCGAGATATCTGTATTTTTAGCTTGTTTGATCTTTTCATTAAACTTAGACTGGACCTTTATGATACCTCATATGTCTAGCTATGATTCCATGTGAAATTGCAGTGAAATTATGCCGCTGTTTGGAAGTCCCCTCCAGACTCATATTCAAAAGTTTCCACTACATAGCTCATCAGAGTTTCTGTTTTCAGATCTTTTTCTTACAGTTATTGTCACAGCACATTTTAAATCATTAATCTCATTTTGTTTTCTGCTCTTGATTCCTAATGTTGTTGTACATCCAAGCTAGTGTTCAGCTCCTCTTTATTTCTTCCGTGAATGTCATTAATGGCATCATCCACTTTCCTTCTCTAGATCATGTGGAAGATTAAATTGCTAGCAGATCTTTGATGTTCATGTACTGGCAACTTGATTTTCCGATTCCCCCCCCCCCCCGCCCTTTATTCCTGAAAGCAACATTTGAAGTACTTTTCAGAGCCAAACAGGGTTGGCAAAGGAAAGAAAGCTTTTGCCTTGCCTCTTTTGTGCCCCAAAACATTTCTGTTTATCTTTCCAAAAAGGTGGTGATCTTCCTCTAAAACTTCAGAAAGAATGGCTCCACATGAATAATGTGGAGTTTGAGAAGCTGGCGTGGATGAAGGATCTTCCCCATCCTCGGCAGAGGAAAACTAGAAAGGTTTGAAGAGCGGAATTCTTTATCTCCCCCCCCCTTCTGTTAACGTATTCTGTAGCTGCAAAGTCTCCATCAAAGGATAAGTCTGGCTGGTAGCTTTCTTCTTGAGAAATTAATGTTTTCAAGAGTGATATGGGGATTTGACTAGATAAAGTTGGGGAGGCTGGGTTATACTAGGGGCAAGATTGATGTACAGTTCACACTCAGATGAGAACCTTGTAAATCATGTAAGTTTCCGTAAGAGATGTGAAGAGGTGAGATAAATAAATGACTTGGTGTGCTTTTTTAGACTTGGAGCAAGCAATTGGAAAATATCATTTGGTATAAAAACGTACAGGACAGAAACAACTGGAATGCATCCATGCCCTACAGAACCTTTGCATGACTTCTGGAAAACTCCCAGTCTTGAGTTATGGAATTGTTACCAAGAGTGCTGTTGGACATGTAGTGGGCGTTTTCAAGACACTTGTATGGATCCCATAAAAGATTTCTGCAGATGGGCCAAAGGATTAGGGCTGATTTCCCTCCTCCCCCTTGCAGACCTTTGATTCTCTCTTCTTGCTGTTCATGGGGGTTGTCCCTTGGGGACTGTCCCACAGGAATAACCTTGTAAATTTCAGGATGCATTTTTAGCTGCAGCGGTAGGGATGAGGCTATGAAGTCCTTTCCGTATGTGGAAACTACTAGTGGATCCATGCCATTGTCCTTAGCAAATCGTTGTTGTCCTGGGTCAGGCAAGATTGAAGGAGGTAGCTTTTAGGACTCAAAACATTTACAGACTTTATGTGTCAAAGCCAGGACTGAATTCTACTTGGAAGGCAATAGGCATACATTGTGGACTGTAAAATCTAGCATAATGAATTACAGTTGGCAAGCAGTGTGGTAAGCGGGTGTAGTGTATTGGCTTTGGATGTGGGAATAAACCCCTGCTTACTGGATGACTTTGACCAAGTCACTAATGCCACTATAATCTATTTCATAAGTTCTATTGTGAAACTGAAACGTTTCTCTGTTGTGCTGACTTCTTTGGGGGAAAGACATGATCCACAGTGAAGCAAATCAAGAGGAAAAGTGCTTGATGCAGCCTCCAACGTTCAACAGCAGTCCTGCATGGAATGCATGAACGATTGATTGGGTTACATGTTCAGATTGTCTTTTCCTGGAACATGATAATAGGAACATGGGATCTAAATTCTTATGGATTTGAGCAGCTAAGTATTAACTGTCAGATGGCATGGAAATCAATAAACATAATCTTTTAATTTCCCCCCCTTTCCCTAATAGGGGATGCAAGCACGCTTCAGTCTGAAGGGGGAACTTATCCCTCCAGATAAAGACTTGCCTACATATCTGGGTCTGCACCACCATGGAGAAGAAGCAGAGGTAAGGAAGAATAGCCCTGGACATAACTGCAGTCTTTTTGCATGTTTGGTTCTTGGTATTCTTGGTATTCTTAGCTAGTCCTGGGTTAGAGAGTTTGGGAAAGGAAGTCTAATGATTAATGGGTCTGAGCTGAAGCTCTGTGGGAAGCATTCAAAGTGCATTAGTGCTTGGAACAAATTACAGAAAGAAACAGAGAAACAGTAATTTTAAGAGAAAACTATTAGGAAGTTTTATTTTTCCATTGTTTGTCATTATTTTAAAAATGTATACCCCGTCTTTCAGAAGAAACTTTTAAAGCTCCTTTCAGTAAACAATTTTATAAGCAACAATATAAGAATGAAGTACAATAAGGCAATAGAGTCAAGTGCAGCTGTAGACAAGCAAACCAGCTTAAAAAAAAAAAAAAACCAGCCAGTAACTACAGCCAAAAGCCAGTAGAGAAAACCTTCTGAAACATTCAAGAGAAAGGTGAATATGCATCCCAGGCAATGTTCCCTTTAAGCTGAGAGTATGAGCTAGCTCACAGTTTTTTAGCCTCCAGCTCACAGATTTTTGTGTTAGCTCAGGAAGGATGGCTCCAGAGCAAACTAATTTATGCAGTAACCAAGTCACTCACTCACAGCTTTAATGCCAGTAGCTCACAAAGTAGAATTTCCTCACAAGACTCCACAGCTTAGAGGAAGCATTAATCCCAGGGGAGAAAATGCAAGAGTTTCAGGCCACCACCAAGGAAGTCTGGTGGTGTGTGTTTCCCTCTGTGAGAGGCAGCGAGGTATGATGGGTAAGAGTAGCAGACTCTAATCTGGAGAAGCAGGTATGTGTTCCCCGCTCCTCCACATGAAGCCTGCTGGTTGACCTTGGGCCAGTCACAGTTCTCTCAGAGCTCTCTCAGCTTCACCTGCCTCACAAGGTGCCTGCTGTGGGGAGAGGAAGGGAAGGAGATTGTAAGCAGCTTTACGTTTCCTTAAAGTAGAAAAAAGCGGGGTATAAAAACCTACTCTTCTTATCCGAAGCCTCTGACAAGGGCAGATCATTAAGGAGGGCTCCTCCAGCTGACTTAAGTAATGTATGAGCTTGGAATTTTTTCCTACACCTTGCTCTTGGAGTATCAGGCATTGCCCCAAAGAGGGCCAGTATATTGTTTTATTTTATGAACCAGCTTGGGGGTCATTACTGGGATGAAGGTGGTGATATAAATAAATGGAACAGCCTCTTCAGTCTCTGGCTCTGTTTTTGGCTGTATAGCTGCAGACTTACATTTTAGCACTGCCTGTATCTAAAATGTCCTAGGGAACAGACCCACTCAGAGTTCCAGAGAGACTTAGGCCAATTCCAGCTTTTGAGACCCTTAGTCATAACAAAGTTAAGATGAGGGAAGGTGTCACATTTTAGTCCAACAGGGATTCACATAAAAACAATTTGCAGGACACATCAAATGCCAAAACACCAAAATCTGAGTCACCCTTTGAGCTTGAGGCCCAGGCCAAATGGCTGTCCTGGACTCCCCTCCCCCCAAGCTGATTAGCCTGGCTGGGGAGCAGCACTCTTACGTGCTTTGCCAGATCCAATAACCCTACAGTGCCGGTTGTTTTAATGACCACATATCAGCAAGAGTGATCATTGACTGATGAAACGTGGCTGCAACTTTGGAATATGTAAAAGAGCTCACAGAAATGCCAGCAGAATAAAAGTCAGATATTAATATTATTAAAGGGGAGTGATGCAAGTGGCCTGGTAGGGGAATTGACAGAGCCAGACAAGGGAAAGTGATCCCGGACACCAAGAGTATGACCACGATACCCACTCAGTCAGAAAAGAAGGGGATGAGAGAGAGAGAGAGAGAGAGAGAGATTTACAAAGAGAGATACAGGGCGATTTCTCACTAGAGCTGCCTCGCAGCACAGCGCCGTTTGCCTCGACACAAACATGTCAATTTCACACCCGAAGCTCCGGGGCTGCATGTTGACTCGGGGCTTCGCCCGATTTCCTCCGCAGTTTCGTGATCCTGGTTTTTGAGGATCATGAAACTGTGGAGGAAATCGGGCGAAGTCCCGAGTCAAATGCAGCCCCGCAGCCTTGGGTGTGAAATTGACATGTTTGTGTTGGGGCAAACGGCGCTGTGCTGCAAGGCAGCTCTAGTGAGAAATCGCCCACAGTTACCAATCCCAGAGTTTGGTAGCTAGGACTTCAGTGGGGGAAAACAACTGCATTTCTTGTGCCAAAGCGACTCTCAAGGTGCAGGTAGTTGTGATGCAGGCATGAAGTAAATGTAAGGGAAAGATTCTCTTTCCAGTTATAGGACTAGGAATTGCAGCACAGGAAGAAAAGACTGTTTTTATTCTGCCGTGAAAATAAAAGAGGCATTGGCAAGGACCAGATTTATGTGTGGAGAGGGGCGGTTCTTGGGTAGAGGTATTAAGTAAAATTTAACATATTGGACAAATTAGGAGCTTTGGAGTTAGCCAGTCCCCAATATGACCATCAGTTCTGGGTGAGGTAATGGACATACTGATAATGGTTAGGTATGTTTGGTTAAAGTGGTAAACAAGAGAATATGTTAGTGGCAGCAGGGGAGGTATTTTTGTGGCAAAATGCACACTGATGAGGTTACTGCAGGTTCCCAGTTGCAATCTGATCCCCTCAGAGTGCCACTTTTTGGGTGGGGTGTTTTCAGGGTTCTCCCAGAGCACTCCTGGCTACCGTGATTGAATTAGATGCTGTTCTGCTCTTCCCCTAGATACCAGGCACTCCTTGCGTTACCTCAGCCTGGGAAGGGTGGAGCAAGGCCTCAGCATCAAAAATGGGAGGTTGGGGGAATTGGTCTGCGTTATGTAGTTATGTTGATAGGATGATGTGGTCATCTAAGTTGACTTGCTGATATTTTGCACCTTCTATTTTCCAGTTAGATGGGGTGGTGTGGCTTGATAGTAGACACAGCTGTAGCATGTGTATAACCATCCAGTCTGTAATAATCCTGTTTATTCTCTTTGGTTATAGAGAGCTGGCTATTCACTCCAAGAGCTCTTCCATTTGTCTCGCAGCCAGGTTATTCAACAAAGGACTCTGGCTTTGCTTGTGCTTGGTCATGTTGTCCAGAAGGTAGGGTAATCTTTGTATAGCTTTCTGTTCCTCCTGTTCCTCCTCATCTACACAGAGAACACTAACTTCTCATTTAGCTGCTAGGATGGCTCCACTGTTTTTGTGACAGGTTACGTTCAAGTAATAATGGAGACTGAGGTGGTTAACTTCCTCTGGACCTCATTCTGGTCCCTACAGAAACAATCGACCTGTCACCAAATCACCAGTGTTGTGTTTGATTACTGATCTTGTGCCTTGGGGAACTCAAAATTATTAAGGGACTCAAAATTATTAACTCAGTTACATGCTTGACTGCGGATGAAGTGTCAAGCTGTGGTTTCAGGCTCCTAGTCACTTGCATGAAGATAAAGAATGACATACATCGCAGAAATTCCCATCCTGTGACTTTAGGTGGGCAATTTATAGAGAACACAGTTCACAGATTCTAAAACTGTATTTTCTTTTAAAAGGAGTAAAATCTTGCTATACAGATTTTGTAGCTGGAATAAATAATATAAAATGAGTTTTTGTTTATTCATTCATTATATTTATATGCTTGTTCAACTTTGCATGCTGAGTAGATTTGTGTGTATGATTTCATTTTCACAATTTCTTGGATTTATTTTCCAAATTTTAATTAGGATTTTTTTTTGGTATTCCTAAAACTTTGAATAATAAGGGTCAGAACTATCAACAGTGGAGAAATCATGAGAGCTTTGCCAAATGAAGTGTCATAGCTCAATGGAAATTCTTTTAAAACCACTGTGGGTTTCTGACCAGGGTCTCAGAATTTAGGAAATTACGACAATCTGGCTCACAGGCCATATGATTCAATAACAAAATAAAAGTTGATTGGAGTAATGTGTGATTTTCTTCTATTTTGTAGTTCTTACTGGTGGTTGAGCTGCTCTGGAAATGTGTGATTGACAATATTCAAATTGTATTAGATGTCTTGTTGCCTCTGGATCCTGTTGCCAAGTTAGGTACTGTAAAAGACTTGAGCTTGGATCCAGTGGAGCATTTCCACAGGTGGAAGGAATTCCTCCCACAGAAACAATTTTCTCACTGCCCACTCATGCTGCACCCCCAAAAGCCCCTTTATGTTGATTTGTATTCCTATGCACAATTACCTGGAGCAGCGTCCTTTGAGTATAGTGGTGTTCATTTATGAGTAAAGATGTGTAGGTTCAGGCCATCAGGAAATGAAAAAGAACTAGTATTTAATTAACGGCTGCCAAACTATTAATTGCTAACTAATGGAAACAGTATCTGTATCATATATATTAATTTGTAGTTAGCTAAGATGATAGATGTTACTTAGGATAAAGTAGACGTATAAATTGGCCACCCTAAATTTAATAAGATAATTAAATGCTTTAAGTAATGAAAAAATGTATGAAATCTGGCTGAAGCTGAGCACAATTATGTGTTATAAGCAGGGGTCCACAAATTTTGGCTGTTTTGGTAGTGAGCTATTATTTATAGTTACCATTAGTGGCCAGCTGTTCTTAGTGCTGTTCACAGAGGACATTGTGATGAGGGGATCTAGTCTCCGATTTTTTCACACTGATTTAGTGCAAAGCCAGAAGTCAGTCCCTTTCGAACTAGAAGGGGATGAGGTTCCCTTGCTCGAAAGCCAGTCGAATCCGACTCTAGGGTTGCGGTGCTCATCTCCGTTTCAAAGCCAAAGAGCCAGCGCTGTCCGAAGACGTTTCCGTGGTCATGTGGCCGTCATGACTAAACACCAAGGCGCACGGAACGCTGTTACCTTCCCACCGAAGTGGTACCTATTTATCTACTTGCAATGTCTTGCTTTCGAACTGCTAGGTTGGCAGGAGCTGGAACTAGAGATAGGAGCTCACCCTGTCTTGCGGCACCCGGGTCTTGAACTGCTGAACTACTGACCTTCCACAGCCTGCAGTTCAGCGTCTTAACCACTTGAGCCACCGCTTGGACAAAAGATATGGTTAGTCTCTGACTTTGCATTGAGCTTTAGAGATTCCAAGTGCCTCCAGTCACAGAGTGAAGACGAGGGAGGAGAGAGGGTTAGCCACTATGCCAGTCTTGTTTATGGACCTTTGGCTATAAGGAAACTACATTTCTCTGCCACTCAGTAGTGTCATGGTCTCCTGGAAAGCACCTGTGCTATGGCTTTGTCCGGTGCCAGCAATCCTCCAGCTCCCAGAGTTATTGTGAACAGTGTGGAAATGAGCCATGCAGCAACAGCTTAAGGTAGTGTTGGAAGGGGGCCTAGGCAACTTTAGTGTCTTCCCTCTGAAGTAACAACATTTTTAGTAGTCTTTGTGATGTGTGTTGCAGGCCACAGCGGGGGAGTTTGCTTCACTGCTGAAGGGAAGTGTCCTCCGTGTACTGCTTGATGCTGGCTTCCTCTTCTTGCTTCGTTTCTCCCTGGATGATACCGTGGATAATGTCGTTGCAGCTGCTGTCCACGCCCTCCATGCACTCTTGGTCTCTCCAGATGATGAGGTTTCGATCTGTAGAATATAGGAATCTTGTTTAAAACTCTTTGACTATTGGTTGCTATAGGAACAGTTCCATGATTACCTTGGTTCAAGCTAGAACCTTCCTCTAAGAGTCTTGCCTAAAACTGATGACTAAAATGTGTTGTAAACCTTGTATTTGTGCTTACTAATCCTCTGTACTGCTGTGGCTCCCTTAAACCCGTGACAATCTGAGGTATGAGTCCCTTCCATCTAATGATAGGGGTTTGTATCCAAATGAGATTCATTTGTAGGGTGGATATTGCAGAGTGGGTCTTTGCAGTTTCTCCTTCTGCTGTGGACCACTGAGCTCCCCCAAAATTTTGTTCACGAGGATCAGTTGACCCTTCAGGAATATCACAAGGGATAAGGTGGGATGTCTGCAGTGGGAAGGGGGAATCAACCAAAATTGCTGTCCTATCTTTCAAAAATGGCAGTGTGCTAAAGCATTTGGAACTCTATAGCTTCTGACAAAGGCCTTTTCCAACCCTGTGATTTGAGATTCTTTTTCCTGGGTCAAGGGTTAAACCTTTGGCCTTCTGCATTTACACTTGTGCTGTATCTCTAGTATAATTAATTTTTCTTTCTCCTACAAGTGATTAGCAAGAATTAGCTTTTTTGTTTTTCATTTTTTCTTAGGAGTGTCTTGACCTAACCTTCTCATGGTACCAAGGTATGGCTGTGCATCCTTTCATCCCAAACAAAGAGGAAGAAGAAGAGGTGGAGGAGGAAGATGAAGATAATGACAATGAACAGATTGCAATGGAAAATAAATCAGGAAGAAAATCAAAGGATGAGAACAAGCCAGACCCAGAAGTGGCACGATATGATGTTATAAAGGTAAATCTTGCCAGCAAAGCAATATTCCAAAGATGTATACAAAATTAAAACCTTTCCTGTGTTATGTACTAAAGGAGAGGTTTGTTAAGACAAAGCTGGCCGCTTGTGCTGTATACAGTGAGATTTCTAATTCTGGGATTTGATATGGGCAAATGAATGTGTAATGATACTTTACAATCCAATTACATTTTATTTAAAGCTTTTAATTGATTAAACAGAGTAACACTGTGCATGAACACAGTGATATAAGCTATTTCATAGGAGAAGATTTCCCAAATATTTGAGTGCTAGGTCAATATTTAATATATCTGAAATCCTCTTTCTCTTAACTGTTGCTCTGTTATGCCTGTAAGGTTATTACTTGGGGTTTCATTGGAAGAGAAAACAGTCAAAATATTTTATGTAGAGAAGATCATAGGTGCTGGTAGTGACTTATAAGTGGTATCTACATGAAAGTTTGGAAATACGCTTGTCGCTGTGCAAGGAAAAGGCTGAGCAGACACTTGCTGTTGATGTACACATGTTGGCAAAATACTAACACTGAGGAGGAACTGTTTGGCAGAAATGGTCGAGTTGTCATGACTGGAAGGATACCTATAAAGGATGTGGGCTGTCTAAGCAGAGTTTCTTTTTCTGTCTAAGGGACATTGGCCTGTATCTAAGGAGCCTTCCTCCAACCTGTTGCTCTTTCTCCAGTAGAAGAGCCACTTGAGATTGGAGGAAAGCTCTTCAGGATGAAGGAAGTCTTTGCTTAGTGGAGTGATGTGCCTCTGCTCCTTCCTTGCCCCCTGCAGGGTCCCTGTCTGTTTAAATGTTGGGCTTCCCTTGTGTTCATAACTACTATGAGAGCTGACTTTGGTGGCAAGGAAACAGTTTCGAGCTATTATGAGAGCGGAACCCACACTCCACTGGGAGCCTACTGTGACCAAGAGACAACTCTGAGGGTTTTAAAAAATATATTTGCTATTAACCTTTCTTGGATGCACGCCTTAATGTGGTGAGGGTTTTTTGTGTGTGTCACAAAAGCTGAAAGCAATGCCACAAGGCATTTAGTCTCTGTCAAGAAGCTAAGCTTCTAGCAGAGTCAGTCAAGGAGGGATGGTCACAGCTGAGACACCAAACTAAGATGCATCCACCCCCTTCAGGAATCAACAGCCACATCAGCAGAAGAGAATGAGCAGTTGCAGTGGTGGTGAGGCCAGAGGAATCCTTGAAGAGCAGCCGTGGTGGAAGGTGACATTGGCACCAGTTCATAGACAACGGCAGCACCACTTCAGCTAACCCTGGTTAGTACTGTGCAGAAGAAGGTGATGGTGAAACACTTCTGATAATTGCTTACGTCAAAAGCCCTATGATGAGACAATCCAAAATGAAAAAAGATACAGTGCTAGAAGATGGAACCTCCAGGTCAGATGGCACTCAGTCAGCTACTGGGGGAAAACAGAGGAAAACTACAAATAGCACTGTTCTTAATGATGCAACTGGACTAAAGCTTAAGGAATGTTCAGTTGTTGATATGAATGGATGCAAAAGGAAATCCAAAAACTGCTCAACGCATATAATAGGAACATGGAATGTGAGACATATGAAGAGAAGAGAAGAGATTGGATTTATACCCCACCCTTCACTACCCAAAGGAATCTCAGAGTAGCTTACAAACTCCTTTCCCTTCCCCTCCCCACAACAGACACCCTGTGAGGTAGGTGGGGCTGAGAGAGCTCTGACAGAAACTGCTCTTTTTTCAAGAACACCTCTGACAAAACTATGGCTTGCCCAAGGTCATCCAGCAGGTGCAAGTGGAGGAGTGGGGAATCAAACCTGGTTCTCCCAGATTAGAATTCACGCACTTAACCACTACACCAAACCACTACACCAATCAAAGTAAGCTCAAAATCGTAAAACAAGAAATGGAATATTTAAACATTGCAATGCTCAGAGTGAGTGAACTAAAGTGGATTGGATTAGGACATTTTCAGTTAGAAAATTACAACGCGTTTTACCCTGGAAATGACATACAGAAGAAATGGATTTGCTCTAATAGATGAGATGTAGCACAAGCAGTCGGTCTATAATGTAAAGTCTGACCAAATAATACCAGTTGGACTGTTGGACTTTATGAAAAGCCTATCAACATAACCATCATTCAGATTTACACCCCAGCTACAGATGCTGAAGAAGAAGAAATTAATCATACATCTAAACAAGGTAAGCTGGGAATCATGGGTGACTGGAACAAAAAAGTAGATACAAAATAGAATCAAATATCATTGGAAGATTTGGCCTAGGAGCATGAAATGAAGTAGGAGAGTAACTCATAAAGTTATGTGAAGACAACAGTTTGTTAATTGCAAACATGTGTTCCAGGCAACCAAACAGATGATTGTATACATGGACATCACTGGGTGGCCAATACAGAAATCAAATAGATTACATAATTGGAAGCAGAAGATGGAGAAGCTCTATTCTGTTTGCTAAATCAAGACCAGGAGCTCATTGTATTGTTTTTATCTCCCTGTCTCTTCAATCTGTGTGCAGAACACATCATAAGGAAAGGTGGATTAGATTTAGATGGTGGAGTGAAAATTGGTAGAGGGCACATTAACAAATTTGAGCTATGCAGATGACACCACATTACTGACAGGAAACAGTGTAGACTTGAAACAACTTCTGATGAAGGTTAAAGCAGAATATACCAAAGCAGGATCATAGCTGAACATCAAGAAGACAAAAGTAAAGATTACTGAGGAATTACAGAACTTTAAGGTTGATGATGAAGAAATGGAATTGTTCAAGATTTTCTATCCCTTGGCTAAATTGTCAACCAAAAGGCAGACTGCAACCAAGAAATCAGAAGGAGACTGAGACTGGGAAGGGCAACCATGAAGGAACTAGAAAACATTTTTAAGGGTTAAAGATTTTTCACTGGTGGGCAAGATGATTCATATCATAATATTCGCCATTACTATGCATGGGGATGGAAGTTGGACAATGAAGAAAGCTGAGAGGAGGAGGGAAGTGGATTCATTTGAAATGTGTTGTTGGAAGAGAGTTTTGCAGATACCGTGGACTACCAAAAAGACAAATAAGTATGTTCTATCTAGATCAAATCAAGCCTTGACTCTCCCTAGTTTAGTTCATTTTATTTTGATACATGATTAAAAATAATAATAATAATAATAATAATGATAATAATAATGATAATAATGATAATAATAATAATAGATTGGATTTATACCCCACCCTTCACTTGAAGTCTCAGAGTGGCTTACAAACTCCTTTCCCTTCCCTTCCCCACAACAGACACCCTGTGAGGTAGGTGGGGCTGAGAGAGCTCTTTTGAGAACTGCTCTTTCAAGAACAGCTCTGACAACTATGGCTTGCCCAAGGTCATCCAGCAGCTGCAAATGGAGGAGTGGGGAATCAAGCCTGGTTCTCCCAGTTTAGAGTCCACGCACTTACCAACTACACCAAACCGGCTCCAAACTACCATGTACAATACTAAGACCAACAAAAAACCTTATATGTGCCATTATAATTCAACATTATGAGTAATTTCTTTAAAGGAGTCTGAAAGGAGGAGGGAAGTATAGAATTACTGTAGTCTTCCTGGGGAATTTATTAAAATTGGCATAATACATTGGGAATGTTTATCATTATAGAGTAGGGACAGTGTAATAATACGTGATCCACTGTCTCCACATTTCCCATTTAGCAAGGGCAATTCCATTGGAAATAAGGAATGCAAAGATACCTGCCTTCCAGAAAAGCTGAGGGCAAGGCATTGAAATGTGCCCCAAGTGAAGGTTCTCTGGTACTTAGTTATCTCTAAGGCAGTGAGATATGCTGCATTGCAGTAGGCTACCACTGTAAACAAATTCTAACAGATTGAAGGACCAGGTCCCAGATTTGTTGCTTAATTATTTCTCTGTCTTCTGGAAGCCCTGAACTCTCCCTCGAAGCTAAAATGACTGAACTGCAGCTTTCATACTTTGATCACATCATGAGAAGACAAGAGTCACTGGAACAGACAATGATGCCAGGAAAAGTTGAAGGTAGCAAGAAAAGAGGAAGACCCAGCATGAGATGGATTGATTCAGTAAAGGAGCAAAGCTGTTAATGATAGGATGTTTTGGAGGACATTGCCATAATTCAGAAGCCATTTGAAGGCACTTCACATAGGTTGTACCAAGAATGAATCATCCATGTAAGAATGATGAAATACCCATTGAAGAAATAAATTAGCAGCAGGGGGAAAAACAACTAATAGCTAATTTAGTAAAATGCCTTGCATTGCGGAGTGGCTAAGGAAAATCCCATTTAAGATATGGCTGAAAGCAAGCATTAATTTTGGAATAGCTCATGTTTTTATTATTCTTTTGTAAAATAACATAACTTGAGTGAAATTGCTTATGGTTATTTGCGTTAATGAGAGAAAAATTAATCTCTAAAGGAAATGGTGGAATTGGTTCATAAATGCTGTGATTGCTGAATCCTACAAAATGTGCTGTAGGAAATTCAAGGTGAGAAGCTGTATGCAATTCAGTTTAATCACTGTATATTTTGCAAGCTCTCTGCTCTTTTTCCATTCATCAGTAATCCTGAGAGGTGAAACTCAAAGATAATGTGTGCTGTGGGAAAATAGAGTTCAGCCTCCCTATTCATATTTCATATAACTGCAATAAAAAAGGAATCGCAAGATGAATTAGTGTGGAAGAGCAAAATTTAGACATTGCAACATATTTGTCTAAGTTCAGTTATGTTATCTCTGAATCCAGTCAAGAGTTTAATATCCCTCACTGTATTGTGGTTGAATGCATGGATTGCCTCAATTGAAATATATTGTGGTTCAGTGAACACAGAAGCTCTGTCTGGTGATTGTTATGAGGTAACTGCTTCACACATACAAGTCATCCATTGATGATAAGTTGTTGGGTTCACGTACCAACATCATTCTTGGATTCTCCGACTCTTCAGTCATTGTGTCTTCTTGGGAACAGATTAACTTCTGGATATAAAATAGGAACAATTTTTACACTAGAGAGTTCTATCAGCTGCTGAAACATCTGACAAGAAAAAATAATCCAGTTATTTTCTCTTGTCTCCAAGGGACTTCTGAAGACCAAGATTCTTCACCGCCTGAGATACATTCTGGAAGTCATGAAGCCTGTTCCTTTGGTGGTCCTGGAGATTCTAGATATTCTCATCCGCATAGCAAGGCACTCTACAGAAGTATGCAATCAGGTACTACTCCCCTTTGTGCATCCTGGTTCAAGAAAGCAGTGAGTAAATGGAGCAAGTGAAAAGGGCATAAGGAGACCAGCCCCAGCCCTCTTGGTATACTTTGTCAGATGGTTCGTATTTGCAGAGCTGAAAAATGTTCTTAGTTTTTTGTATGTGTGTGTTTGCAGGTCCTTGATTGCCCTCGTCTGATTGAGACTGTTGTCAGAGAGTTCATCCCTACCCAGTGGGATCCAAGAGCAGCTGAACCGGGGCAATTTCTTGCTAGTGTGTATGGAGTTCCATGTGCCACAGCTATGAAGCTGATTAGAGTCCTGGCCTCCGGAGGGAGGAATGCAGCTGCCAGGCTGGTAAGTATAGTTACTGTAAATTGTAATTCTAACGAACAGCTGGCCACCAGCACCTCTTCCACTTCATCACGGAGGCACAAGTGGGATTAACACTTGGCACTGAGACTAAAAGGCTGGTTCCTCGATGATCATTTGGTATACTTGGTACATTCACACATAAATGCAAATATGGCACATTGTAAAAACAAAAAAAGCACTTGGAATAAGTAATGCAAATCTTCCAGATTCAGGGCTTTGAAGCATCCCTACAGTGGGTGGGGGGCAGCACTGCAATTGTAGAAGGCAGGAAGGAAATGGTTAAGGGAAGGACACTAAGATGGAAGTCAGATAGCAGTGGATAGTAGGGAGAGTGGTGTCCGTGCTTGTTTTCAGCACATTTCCATGCAGCTATTGTAGGGATATTCCTATAGCCTTCTGTGCCCTGAATATTGAGGTGTCCTTTTCTCCCCTTCCCCTGTGTCTTACTCAACTTTCTGTTTATTCTTCACAGCTTAATAAGCATGAGATGAAGAATCGGCTGAGTCGATTCGTAGCAGAAGATCCCAAAGACCTGTCTTTGATGAGAGAGGAGGCCATAAGGCTGAGCACTGAAGCATTCCGCTTGTGGGCTGTAGCAGCTGGCTATGGTCAGGCCTGTGATCTCTACAGGTATGGGGTAGGTTTCATAACTTGGTGTGTAAGCCAGTGTTCCTGTGTTCAAGATGGCAACCTGCTTGAAATAAGTAATTTTCTTTTCTTGTTTCTTTCCTTCTGGCAAAGCAGATAGTTGATTTACCAAGTAATTATAAGAAATTATCTCATGTAATTTATAAATTTCTGCTCATGATGAACTTTATGAATATGGAATTTTTATTTCTGGTTGGGAGCAAATTAAGTGTTTTGAACTATTGGCTAATGTCACGTCTCTACTTATAACGCCTTCCTCCCCTCTTTTCTTTAATCACAGGGATCTCTATCCTGTTCTGGTGAAGATGATCCCATTCCTGTCCCACTTGGTGAAGAGCTCTGAAGAGAATAAATCTATGTATAACCTTTCTATTGAGAGAGCCACAGCCATAGTGACCTTGCTTTCTCAAATAACGCAAACTGCAGGCTGCAGAGCAGAACTACAGGCCCAGCTCAGCAGGTACTATGATTGTCTCTTGCTATAGCTCAGAAATACACTGGCCCTTGTTCTTCAGCATCTCTTTGGAAATCTCTATCCTTTTCTGGTGACGATGACCCCATCCCTGTCCGATTTGGTGAATTTGCTTTACTTTCCACCAAGTCTGGCATTCCAACAGTAGTTACGCGGAAGCTCACAGGCAAAGTGTGACAGCAAAGGCTGTAGCTTTTAGTTTTATCCCAGCATCTAGTCCTGAATAATCTGCATGCATCTAGGTTTTAACACTTGGAACAGACCATGGCACAGAGGAAGTCTTGAAGTGCTTGATCAAGAGGAGAAGACCATAACTCAGTGGTAGAGCACAGGCCTCTGTCCCAAGTATCTAAGTAACGAATGTCAAATAATGGATGTTAGACACTTTCTCTGCCTGAGACCCTGGAGTACCATTCAGAATTACTGAATGAGAAATGCCAGTGATCTGTCTTAGTATAAGGCAGCGTTGCATTATCCACAAGAAGAGGGCAAAGATTATTTATAAGACCAGGCTCTGCAAAGAAGCACCTGAGGAGGGAAAATGAGTTTGTGAGATTTCATTTTGGCCTTGCACTATGGTAAATTCTTTTGTAGGATTTTAGAATACTGTCACATGTCAGATATTTGCAATGCTTGAAAAACTCTTTGGTATAAAGTAGACAGCTGAAATTCTGCTCAAAGTGAAGAGAGTTCTTTCTTAGCTTGAGAGTAGCAGTTAATGAATTTGCTTTTTGCGAAATAAACTCAAGCAATTTCCAGCTGGTTGCAGAGTTATAGCTTACCTGTCTCAGTAAAGTGATATTTTATGTGAAGAAAGGGATCTAAAACTATAAGACTGGCCAGTCATCTGCAAAATAGGAAGGGGAAACAGGAGAAACTGATATTGTTTATAAAGCAGCTTTCTTTGATTTTATAAAATGCATCTTGGAATTACTACTTCCCTGTGGTTCTCTTAATTGCAGTGCTGGATTATAAAACACAAAGCCCTGTTGAAAACATTTTTAAAAATCCTATGCAAATGGAAAATAACTATTTAATTCTTTTGAGTTTAAAAATAAGTGAAGTTAAAATAAATAGTGCATTGTGCAAATGGCAGAAAGCAAAAAGCCTTAATAATCATAGTGGTTTAGATGCAAAAGGTGAAGATAATTTAAATTTTTTATATTTAAAAGCTGTATATATCATACTTGACATTTCAATAGTGTGAGAAATACAAAGCAGGAACGGTGACACCTTTCACTGGAGGCAATTTTACATTGTAGAACCTGTTGAGGGAGGCAGTTTGAAATAGTCAAATATTTGGGGCATCTTAGAAACAAAGGGCTGTATCCTCCTAGCTTTTCCACCAGAAAAGCCCCTTTTGACCACTGGAAAAGCTGTGCCAGTGATTGCAAGATCCATGTGGACAGAAGGCTGGTGGGATGGTATTACAGCAAGAAAGAGAATCCGCAGTGATCAAAAGGAAAAAGTGGTAGGATCCAAATGAAAGACTTCAGTACTGCAGCTAAAGATGACATGGAACATATTGCTGCAGCCAGTTGCACTAAAGGTAGCAGTTGTGTTGCCTTCAAACAGAAACACTTTGCCCGTGCAGCCATGCAAATTGCTGCAGTAAAACTTAAGGCATCTCTCACCCTGCACTTGGGTTTCCAGATCTACGCACATAGCCTTTTGCATCCTGACATCACTTCATCCCGAGCTTTTGTAGGCTGTGCTGTTTACTTTATTAGCCTACATCATCAAATGCTTGAGACAAATTAAGGAGGCATTTAGTGATCCTCAGAATTTGTTTGCAAGGCTGCATCAAAGCAAAGATATGAGTCAGTTGTACTATAGAGTTCCTTTGGTACCTCTGCACTTGTTTCTGTAAGGGCTGCATTTCCATTTCTGGTGGTGACTGGCAGTCTTTTGGTCATTACAGAGCTCCTTTGGTTTTCTTATTTGTGAGGAAGGTTTTGAAGATGGTGATAGCTCACTAACAGTCCACATAATAAATAAAATGGAATTGTTCAGGAGGAAAGTTTTATCGAGGAATAAGGCTGTAGTTTATTGCATGGTTGATTGTATGTATTATCTTCTTTGCACTATATTGTTTTCTAATTTTTGTAATCCAGTTGTATTGTTTATGTTGTGTCAAATATCCCCCCCGAATTTTAAAAAAATTGATTAAAAGAAAGAAAATGAGAAATAACAGGAAAATAGCAGAACATTACTTTTTATCTCCTTGATGTTCAGCTGTAATCCTGCTTTGGCATTTTCTGCTTTAACCTTCATCGGTAGTTGTTTCAAGTCTTCACTGTTTTCTGCCAGTGATGTGGTATCATCTACATATTTGAAATTGTTAATGCTCTTTTGGCCAAATTTCACTCCCCCTTCATCCAAATGTAATCCAGCTTTCTTTATGATATGTCGTGCATATAGATTGAACAGATAAGATACATCCTTGTCAGACACTTTTGCAAATGGAAAACCATTCTGTTTCTCGACAGCTTCTGTTTTATGGCGACACATTGAGCAGACTCATCTCCCGGACCTCCCGGGGATGAAATCTGCGCACCAGCAGAAAGGGTGGGGGCGAGGTCTCGCTACCCCCCCCCCCGGAGACTGGTTGAAAGGGGACTTTTGAGAGGTGGCCTCTTTGCCAGCGCAATGCTGGGAAATTGAGGCGCTTCTCCGTCTTGATGGTCCTCCTGCTGTGTGTCCGTATGGAACTAGTGACGCTGACCAGGACAAGCGCTGGAAATCGAGCGGTTAAAACGGAGCTATAGCGAGGTCGCAAGACCGACTGTGAACTGTGAGTCAGATTAGAGCGTAATTTACATTTTAAAAGGAAAGCTCCCACCCCAAGGGCTAGGAAAGAAAGTGAGCAGAGGAGGGGCCCCTCCAATGCGCATGAACTTAAATGTGAGAGCCGAGGGGGGAGCAGAAGCAAAAACCCTGAAATCTGTTGAAAGAGTCTTACCAGGGCGTGGATGAGCGTATATTCAGAGACTTTAGCAAATCTTCGGAAAGTAAACAATCCATAAAGATGGCGGGGAAGAGGACTGAGAAAGAAAAACTTTTAAAAGCGAAAGTAGATGGGAACCCTCGTCTGGAAGCAACCACCGAGTTGGCTAAAACGTTGGCAGAATCCCTGCGCCCCCTGCTGGACCAGATGACAAATCTCAAGGAACAGTTGTCAGTGATGAACCAAAGCATCACTACTCAGCAGCTTCAATTGAATGAGACTCTTAAAATCATGGAGCAAACAGCTGAGAAAGTGAAAGAAGTTGACGCCACTACCCAAAAGGTGAAGAAAAAGGTGCAAAGGTTGGAAAAGAAGCAAATTTCTACAGAAGAACAACTTTTACAGCTACAAATGGAGAAGGCAAACTTGGTCCTCCGATTCCAAGGTGTCCCAGAATTCAAAGGAGAGAATCTGAAGCAAGTGATGAGTGAAGCATTAGCCCCAGTGACAGATTTGAAGGCGGAGTATCTCATGAGCGAAATGGATGTGGCCTACAGGCCCTGTTCCGTATACATAAAGAAGAATAATCTGCCTGGGGAAATAGTAATGAGATTCTCAAAGAGGCACGTGAGGGATTCTATCCTGAGAGCGACGGCGGGGACACCATCAGGATTCTGAAAGACATCCCATTTGAAATACGACAAAGGAGAAAGAAATATAAAGATTTAACTCTTTTTCTTCAAACAAATGCAATTAGCTACCGGTGGTTATATCCAGAAGGCGTAACCTTCAAACTTCAGGATAAAAAAGAAAAGATTGACTCTGTTTACAAAGCACGGGATTTTTTGAGAATCCAGTTGGGCGAGCCAGAGGAGGTGGATAAAGAGGAGAAGGACAGTAAGTCCAGTGGCAAGCTGGACTCGGGGTCATCTGGAGAGGACTCTCTTTCTGAAAAAGGGGCAGCTGCCCCTAAAAGTCCATATAAACTGAGGAAAAGACAAAAAAAGAAAAAATGAAGGCTGAAGGACTCTGAATTGTGCCCTTGAAAATATGGTTTTTAATAATGGGATGCTCTGGGGTTTCTCTCTCTAACAGTTAAATCTAAGTGTTAAAAGATATTTTAGCATGTCTGACTAAGTTCAAAAGATATCAGTGATTTAAGGAATGATTTTGTACTTAAGCGGTTTTAATGATCTCCTTCTCTTGGGTTTTTAGTCAGTAGTGGTTATCTTTACTTTCTCCCTAATTGTAGTTCCCCTCCCCTATTTCTTTGTAGTTTGTAGTTTAATTTAAAAAAGCAATAAAAAATCCCCTCCGGGGGGCCAAAAAAAGAAAGAAAACCATTCTGTTTCTCCATATTCTGTTTTAACAGTAGCCTCTTGTGCAGAGTATAGGTTGCACAGCAAAAGAATCAGATGTTGTGGCACACCCGTTTCTTTTAAAACCAACCATAACTTTTCATGATCCACACAGTCAAAAGCTTTGCTGTAATCTACGAAACACAAAATGATTTTATTTCGAAATTCTCGCATATGGTCCAGTAATCAAGATATATTTGCAATATCTCTAGCACCTCTTCCTTTTTTTGAATCCAACTTGAACATCTGGCATTTCTTGTTCCATATATGATAACAAGTCTTTGTTGTAAGATTTTGAGCACCACTTTACTCCATTGAGAAATTACTGTGATGGTCTGATAGTTGCTGTAGTCTTTGACATCTCCTTCTTTATGAATTAGAATGTAGATCGAGCATTTCCAGCCTGTGGGCTGTTGTTTTGTTTTCCATATTTGTTGGCATATTCTTGTTAAAATTTTGATGGACTTGTTTTCTGTGGTTTGGAATAGCTCCTTTGATATACCATCTACCTCTGGTGGTTTCTCTCAGTTGTTTTTAGTGTCGCTTTCACTTTCTAAAATTGCAGGTTCTTCTTCAGAAGTTTCTTCTTGGAAGCAATCTGTCATCTTTTCATCTCTTCTGTATAGCTCTTCATCTTTTCCTTATTTTGTCCTGTTCAGTTAATGTATTTCCGTGTTGATCTTTCAGCATGCCTAACCATACCTTAAATTTCCCTTTGGTTTCATGGATCTTATGGAAAAGATCTCTTGTTCTTCTTCTTTTTTTTGTTCTCTTCTGTCTCTTTACACTGTTTATTATAATAGTTTTCTTTGTCTCTATGTGCCAGTCACTGAAGCACTGCATTTAGACTTCTGATTCTATTTCTGTCACTGTTTACTTTTGTTTCTTGTCTGTCTATAACAATTTTAAAAGTTTCATCGGTCATCTGTTGAGTAAATAAAATAAATAAATCTGGCAAGAAACCTAGAGAAGCTATCACATGACTATGTCTCTCCATGTGTAACATGGTACCAAACACTCTGCAGCCAAAATTCTTAGTGCACCAGTTGTATCACATCAATTGTCCTTTATTAGGGGAATCCTGATAGTTCTACAGTTTTTTCCCCTGCGTGTTCTATTATATTTTTACTTCTCCTTCCATTCTATTCCTCCCTGGATGTGGGAGGAAATAGACTTTTGTAGAAGAATGAAATTAATAGATGTTATTCCCTGGGGATTCAGTATTGAGTCCAGTGAGTGTCTGTATTTATTCCTGTGAAGTGGAGGTAGGCAGTGAATTTGATTGAACACATAATCATTTGGGTGGGTGTGAATAACCAGCTTGGTGAAGAGCTGTAGGCTGCTCTAATGAAACTGTGCAAGTAGGGCAAGTGTAGGAGCACTCTGAAATAAAGCAAATGGGAAGTGGTATTGTAGATACACACCAGGTAAGAATCTCACCTTATACCATAGAAGCTAATGACCGGTGTGTTTAGCAGCAAATGCTGTTGCAGGTATAACATCTTTTAGCTGGGTAAATGCGACCTAGATGGCTAACACATGCATGTTCATTTTCTAATGATTCCAGTATGCACAATAAAACATCTTCAGTTTAGATTAGTTTGGAAACCCAGCAAGTTTACACTGAGAAGAACTTCTCTAAGAAGCGAACTCCACAAGAGAAACCTTAGTGTATGCCTAAGTTGATATACCTGTGAAACTTTCTACTAAGGCATTTCCAGGGAAAAAAGCAACTGGCTCAAAGGGAGAAAGATAAGTCCAAGCTAGTTTTTGAACTGTGTATCTGGAAGTGCTGAAGAAGCCAGTGCATGAACTTCAGAACTGATACCATATTCTTGTCAGACAACAGGTTCTCGTTTGTCTGTTTTTCTTTTTTTCATTTAAATTTTATTGAACCTTTTTAACAAACAAAGGAAAAAAACCCCCAAAATATATGAGTTTGTCATTGTGGGAAGTGAACCTGGAGAATCCTTGTGCTTTTGTGTGCTTTCTCCCCTCTCCTTCCCCGCCCTCCTCTCTTTGCATATGACTATGAAATTGAATGAGGCTATGGCAAACCATCGTTTTTTGTCCAAATTGCAAACTATGGCTTATTTTCTGTGCTCTAAACCAGATTAAAGTGGGTTTAGAATTCTTTTTGGAGGGCAGAGATCAAAGCATAGTTTATAATGCAACAACAAATTATTGCTTGCTGAAGAAGGGGGAGGATTCCACAGGGATTCCTCAGGCTCCAACAGATTCCTCAGGCTCATTCACTTCAGAAAAAGGTATTGGAACCTTTGGTTAAGTCATTAGTGCTTTGATGAGTAAAAGGGTTTTCCCTAGTCCTCTGAGTGAAACAGTTACTAGACTGTGGCACAGGCAGGTCATGGGAAGGGCGGACACCTTTAAGGGATGAGAATGAGGACCTGTGGGGGCTGGCAAACCCATAGCGCAGGTGTGGCTTGAAGGCCACTGGCTAAGTCGCAGTTGGTTATTGGGAGCTGGAGGCACTCAGTATGGGTAGGGCATTCCCCTAAGCTGGAAGGAGATGCTGTGGGCAGTGTGGGACGGGGTCCCTCCCATGCTACCCAGTTTGAAGATTTAAGGACAGGGGAAGATTTAAGGATGGCCGTGTTGAGGAGCTAAGGGGAGGCAGCAGACACTCCAGAAGAGTTTAGCAAATAACTAAGGCAGTCTTGTTTGCATGGAGAGTTGAGGGAACCTAGGTGGCCAGGTCCAGGTAGTGATGTAAGTACTTTGAGCATGACCTTGGATGTATGCTGGACTGAGAATAAAACATGTTGTTGCAAACTTTATGGGACTTCTTGAGTGATTCAGTATTGAAGGCTGCCCGCTCTCCAGTCTGCTGCAGCCCTCTGCTCTAGCTGGACCCGTGGCAAGGGCGAGATCCAGCGGTGACATACTTGCTTAGATAACCTTCCTTGACTAATTATGAGATATCCAATTATAGACTGTTCTCCAGTTTGCTGTTTTGGGAGAAGGTGACCATGCGATGGTGGAGCAGCTCCAGGGTTCCTGGATGACAGATCTGTGCCACCTGTGCTTCAGGTGGATGTTCAGAACAGAGAGAATTTTGCTTGTACTGGTGGACAACCGTTGTTTAAAATTGGAAAGGGAGCAGTAATCTCTGTTGATATTGTTAAGCTCTGTGAGCGGCCTTTGGCATATTTTAACCTCTCCATCCTTATTAATCAGCTGGAATATGGAGTCGGTATCAAAGGAGGAGTTTTGAGCTCTTCCTTCCATGGCTCTAGGGCCTTTGGATCATCAAGGAGCTTCCAGGACAACAGAAGATTTTCCGGAAATCACAGCAGACCTTCCTACAGGTTCCAACCTTCATTGTCTAACTCCCAATCAGGCAGTCCTCAGGCTGGACCTTCCAAGGGCAAGGCCAGATGCCCCAGTCAGAGCTGACACCACTCCCAAAGGGGTGCGATGTGGACTGCAGAAATTCGCCTTTCAGTGGGTACAGCCAGTTCAAGATCAGTGGGTCCTCTGGACAATCTCTTTGGGTTTTCAACTAGAGTTTGCCTCACCACCTCCAAGGAGGTTCCTGCAGTTTCCTCTGTCTTTCAATCAAATAAAAGTTCAGCGGGTTCTTCAAACTATCCAGAATTTTCAGGAACTTGGGGGCCATAGAATCGGTGACCTCAAACCAACATGGGTTAGGTCTTTACTCGATTTTTTCCCCCATGGTTCCAAAAAGGAACAGAACGTGGTGCCCCATTCTGGATTTCCAATTGATAAAACAGTCTTTGAAGAGCCATCAGTTCCAGATGGAGACTCTCAAGTCCACTGAAAAAGCCTTGAACGGGGGGATTTCTTGTCTTCAGTAGACTTCACTGAGGCACATCTGCACATTCCAATTTGGCCTCTCCACTGGAAGTTCCTGAGGTTCACAGCTTTGGACCAGCACTTCCAATTTTGAGCAAGGCAATTTGGGCTAGCGTCTGCTCCCAAGAACTTCACCAAACTGATGGCAGCATTAGTGGCAGCTCTTCGGCTGAATGTCATCTGTCTTTACTTCTACTTGGACGACATTCTACTGAGTTCATCCTTCAAAGAGAAGAGAATAGAGGACCTTCAGAGGACCATCAGCTGTCTTCAGAGATGGTTTTGTCATAAAATTTGAAAAGAGCCGTTTTGTCGCCCACACAGGTCTTAATTCACTTGGGGGGGGGGGAGGTGATTGACACATCAGAGGAGAAACCTTTCCTCCCACAGGAGAATTTTCTACCTAGTTTTTCTTCTGCTGCTTCTTTCGTTCTCTTCATGTTTTTTCCCCTTCTTTCCTGTTATACATGTAGCAAGAGGATCTTTTGCTTTAACCCAAAATCAGAGTATTGTGCTTTCTCCCTTTGTAGTACAACAAACTTGGGATGAGAAACCAATTCAGGTTGCCAGCCAAGCTGTCCATTCTTGGAAAGGACAGACCTGAACAGTTCATTGGCTATTGAAATTTAAGTTTCCTTGTGATCATTTTGCTTTTCTGTTACATTTTTCAGGAGTGGCCCAGAAGATGGAGATCAGATTCCTCCTCCACCAGTCTCCTGGACTCAGGTGTCAGGTTTCAGACCCCTCATTGAAACTAATTTGAAAAAATGTCTGAAAGAAATATCTGAACTGGATACCTGGGAGGCACTGCAGCCTCTTGCAACAACCTATGTGATCTACCTGGGGTTGTATTACAACAACTGCAGTCAGCAGGTGAGACCTGTGGAAAAGATGCATTCTCTCGTGCAAGTGTCTTCTGGATTGCTCTTATCTCCACTACACCAAATTTTCCAAAACGTTTGAAATAGAGTCAAGGGAAGGAAGTGCAGCAGTCTGCAATGAACTCTTTTGTAACTCCTGCTTAACTGCAGTGTCTTTCAGTCTGATAATCTCTTGGGACTTTCTGTAAAGTTAAATTGCCATCATTGTATCGAGAACCAAAGCAAGACAGAGAAGGGACTCTTGGTGTATGGATATCCAAACTAGAGAAAACAATCACCGAGGATTCAATAATTAATAAAGCCATCAGTCCTGGCCCCACTGCTCGTCCTCCTGATGGCACTGGTATTTCTGGCCACTGTGTGACACAGAGTGTTGGACTGGATGGGCCTTTGGCCTGATCCAACATTGGCGTCTCTTATGTTCTTATGTTCTTAAATATAGTTTTATGGTAATTTCTATCTTATATTGTATATTGTCAAATATATATAAATTATTTTAACAATATGTTCAGTATATACAAATTATATTCTAATATAACAATTAATATTCTAATACATAGATTCCACTAAATAACAATAGTATGGAACCAAGGCTTGCAGCCACAAAAGCCTCAATTATTATGTAACAATCTAGAAGAGCACAAGTGCTCAGGATGTACCACAGTCAGTATCAACTTTCAAGTGGAGAACAGCTACCTGCTCTCAGAGAATCCAGCAACGTGCCCCCGGATTAAGAGTGTTTCGGCAATTCTTCCTCATAGCCGCAACAATATCTCTCTCAGTAATGGGACCCATGTCTATAGCATGATTCTTAGAACATCTTTTCTAAATGTTGGGCACATAACTTAAACCGTCTCTCAGATTCATCACATGACATAACTTCGCATGACATGTAGGTACCTAACAATTGAGGCTTTTGTGGCTGCAAACCTTGGTTCCATACTATTGTTATTTAGTGGGATCTCTGTATTAGAATATTAATTGTATTACAATATAATTTGTATATACTGAACATATTGTTAAAAGAATTTATATTGTATTTGTATTTAAAATTATTTCATAATTGTATTTAAGATTATTTCATAATATTCAGTGACAGCTTTATTAATTATTAATTGCTCAGTGATCGTTTTATCTAGTTTGGATATCATTGTATTGAGAACAATGAATTCTTTTGTAAGTCTAGCTTAACTGCAGGGACTTTCAGTCTGATATCTCTTGGGACTTTCTGTAAACTGAAATTTCTATCATTGTAATGAGAACATACACAGATAACCATGCTGCAGCCTCAGGGTTGATTCCATTGTAACCTTTCCTATTCAGTTGCAACTTCTGTAGTCCATAGGTATACAATCAAAAGTTCATTTACATAACCTTTACTGGGTTATAGATACTTGTATAGATTCAGATAGGACTGTAGGATTCAGTTGTGAAACCATCATGGAAAATAGTTTCTTCTTGGATGTTCGAGAAGTGATGAAGCTGAAAGAAAGGTTTTTTTCACAACCAGGCCTTGGTTAGTTTTCAGTGTAGGTGTGGTCATTGAGATGAAACATCAGGATCTTACTTGCAACAAACGGTCAAAAGTTCTTACAATATAACCAAGCAAATGAAAATATACATTATTAAATTTGGAATTTGTTTTACTGTTTGAGGACTGTAAGCGAGATTTTTGTGCAAGTAATGTGGATATTTCTCCAAAACATGCCTATGCCTCTCCCATCTGTGGAAGAGGAAGCTGAAGCAGAGATTTAGGTGGAATGATGAAAACAACACTGCTTGGGTGCAATGTTTCCTCTAAGATGTGGAGTCCTGTGAGCAAAAATTCTACTTTGTGAGCTATTGGCATTAAAATTGTGAGTGAGCGATTTGGCTGCTGCATAAATTTGTTTGCTCTGGAGCCATCCTTCCTGAGCGAAGGCAAAAATGTGTGAGCCGGAGGTTAAAAAACTGTGAGCTAGCTCACACTAACTCAGCTTAGAGGGAACACTGCTTGGGTGTATTTGTTGCAGTGTGTTCTGTCTATGTAGACACACAAGGAAGAGGGGGTGACTCTGAGATAGCAGAAAATGAAAGTGCCCTTTCCCCACCAGTCACTTGTTCCATATATCTCGGCACTCTTGATCAGTTGCTGATCCTACAGAGAAGGTGGTCATTCCAGAGTGTCTCATCCCTTTTTCTTACAAGGAGCAGAGTGATTGGACAAAGGAAGGGGAGTCCTTGTCTGGGCTTTGTCAGACACTTGACATTGTTTACTCTCACTTGAAGCGCTAAGGCAGTTGGCATTAGCTTTTGCATCAAAGGCCCAGTCCTTGTCCAACAGTACAACTTGTATTTGAGTGCTCTTAAGAAACATCCGTAGGCAGATGTGTTGGATGATTGTATCTGTGCATGGAAACATACTGTCTTAGATGTTAACACAATGCGCCTGCAGTGTTCTAAAATGAGAAGGAAACTAAATCAATTTGTCCAACTCTCTTGTCAGCTATGAATTACTAACTTCACATGTAAGTCTTCATAAAATCTCTTTTTCTGTCTTCTCCATAGCCATCAGTAAATACTGTAGACTGCCTGGAGGAAGTGGAGCGTCTGACATTTGAGGTGGTGTTGCCTTTGCTCAGCCAGCCAGCCATGCAGACCCAGTGGGAAATGCTCAGGTAGAGGTGTTCCCAGTATAATTGCTGCTGCAGGTCAATAAGTAGGCTTACCAAGTGGCGGCGGGGGATCCGCATGTCTTCACAGGATCCCTGCCGCGGGGGACGGCGATACGTGGTGCACCCGCCGGCGCCAGGATGTGACGCTACGTGTCGCTCTGGCAACGGGACTCCAAACAGCCCCGTTGCCAGAGCGACGCGTTGTGTCACATCCTGGCGACCACGGGTGCACCACGTATCGCCGTCCCCGTGGCAGGGATCCTGTGAAGACATGCGGATCCCCCGCCGCCACTTGGTAAGCCTATCAATAAGCCAGGGGTACTTGTGTTCTGTCCTCATCCTATCCAGAGGTAGTATGGTACTGGAGATTACTAGGCCACTAAAACAGCTCGGCAAATCTGAAAATCCTTTTGCCCAGTAGACCAAGCTGTGTGTAGTCCATGATTTTGCTTATGTTTCCTACTTCATTATTGACAAAGGTGGAATGCAAAGTTTATTAGTATAGTGCTGAGTCATGAATGTATGCTTTTGATTGCAGAATGTAGATTACTTGACAGAATTTCTGTTTCTCTTGTTTGGAAAGCTCTTAGGGGAGCTAATAAAACCTTTATTTTTTTTAAAAAAAGATTATCTAAACTTCAGATAAGTAGTCTTGTTAGTCTGTTGTAAACGAAGTGTTTTGTGGCACCTTGGAATTCTTGCTAAAAGCTTTTATGGGGTACAACCCACACTGTTTAGAATTTCAGTGAAAGTGCAGCGCAGATGAATTAATAAATGAGTGCCTGGGCCCAGAGGGATAAATTCAGCATAAAATTAAAGAAAAACAAAAGAGAGCCTCCAATAATACAACATGAGGCAAAGACATTTACTGGAAGAGAAACAGTTCAGAATTTCTATCAATGTTTACACAGTGAAAGAGATGTGCCTTTTTGTTGCTTTTGCCTCTGGAAGTCATCAGGGGAGCACTGAATGGTAACAGCCCAAGGGATACAGATTAGAGTGTGTCACCTGCTTGTGCGAAAGAATGCTGAGTCTGGACAAGGGGTCATCCCTCTCAATGGCTTTAAATATCTGGGCTTCTGTGGCTGATTGGAGGCCAGCGATGTACAAGTGGAGTGTCCATTACAGATGCAATATATCTCTGAATACTACATACTGGGGTAAACAGAGGAAGGCCATTACCTCCTTGCCTTCTTTTTTAGTGCTCAGGAGCACCTGGGCAAGCTTATTTTGGAAAAAGACTGAGACGGACCTTGGTCTGAAGCAACAAGACCATTCTTCTGTATGTACTTTATATAGGTCTGGCCTTAACATTAACTCAGTCCAGCTGGCGCATACTGCTTCAGCTCAATTATTATGAGGATCTAGACAAAGTAGGTATATTTCTCCCATTCTGCAGTCACTCCATTGTCTGTCTTATCAGTTACCAGGCTCAGTCCAAGGTGTTGGCTATCACATATAAAGCCCTTCAGACCTTGGTTCCTCATACTACTTATGCTCTGCCACAGCAACTTTGCTTATCTGAAGAGGAGCTTCTACTGTTACCACCCTCCAAATGGGCAAGAGATCAACCACTGCCCGTACACAAGCATTCTTTGTAGTTGTCCCCTCCCTACGGAATGGCCTGCCTGCGGAGTCCTGAGCTTGACCCGACAAAGCAGCCTCAGCATGTGTGTTGAAATTCCCAAGGACAGTCATCCTTTTATTTATTTATTTATTTATTTCCAATTTATACCCCGCCTTGCCAGTACAAACTGGCTCAAGGCGGCTTACCTAAGTTAAAAGACAAAAACACAGCCTCAGCACCAAGTCCAACACCACTTCCAACAGCTTAGCCAGAGATCCGGCTGGTGAAAATCCATTTTTGTATTAATAAATTCATGAGCTCTCAGATCCCATTTATAACATGAATTGAAGTTACGGAGAGCTGCGTGTGCATGAAGTCAGTTTTCGCAGTGGAATATCTGCCCTGAAGAAAAATGGCTTTCAGCTGCCTAACTGAAATCAGAGACAAACCCCAACCACATTAGCCAAGCTAGTTACCTGGGCAGGCGAATTCAAGCACAGACAAGTGACATGAGAGAAAAAATCTTCTTGGGAAATTAATTAATTTTTAAAGGTTGGGGTGTTGGGGCTCCTGCTTTTTGTTGCCTAGGGGCTATACTGGATCCAGCATTCATGCAGCTGCCAAAAAAACGTTCTTCCAACTTCGTTTAGCCTGAAAGATGGCCCTCTACCTTGATTTGGCTGATCTGGCCACTTGGATCCACACCATGGCAGCATTAAGACAAGACTACTGTAACACACTCTCTATATAAGTCTCCCCTCAAAATCAACCTGGAAACTCCAGTTTGTGCAGAATGCTACACAGCTCAACTATTATCAGGAACTAGTTGGTGCATGTGCATTACACCTATTCTGCAATCAATCCACTGGCAGACCATTAATTAGTGAGTTCAGTTCAAGGCAGCGGCCATCACATACAAAGCCCTTCGTGGCCTTGGACCCTCATATCTTCAGGACCGCCACTCCTCCTCTGCCCTACTACCACAACTTGGCTCATCTGAACAGGGCCTTCTACAGGTGCCACCTTGCAAAAGGGCAAGATCGACAACTGCCTGTACACAGACATTCGCTGTAGTTGACCCCAGCTTGTGGAATGGCTTGGCTCAAGGGGTTGGAAAACCTCCCATTCTTCTGGCTTTCTGCAAACTGTGTAAACAGGAACTGTTCAGGAGGGCATTTTTATAAAAGAATGTGGTGGTGGACAGAGCCATCAAGTTGCAGCTGACTCTAGGACAACCCCACGGGGTTTTCAAGGCAAGAGATTGTCAGAGGTGGTTTGCCATTGATTGCCTCTGCGACATCACAACCCTGGACTCCCATCAGAGTATTAACCAGGGCTAATCCTATTTAGCTTCTGAGATTTTCGATGTCATGCTAGCCTGAGCCATCCAAGGCTATAAAAGAATTGGGCTGCATTATAACAGAATGATTCAGGAACACGTCTGAATAGCAAGAACATGACTGTGGACTTACTGCTTATATGCATTATCTCTTGCTGTATTTTTTTCTTTCTCACACTGCATTATACTTTTACTTTAGTAATACCATTTCTTGCATTGTTTAAGATGTCATGTTTAATATTGATGCCTTGTTTTCAGATTTCTGCAATCCTAGTCCTATTACATTGCTCATTAGCTCTCTTCATCCCATTGATTTTGCTGACTTGCTTTATGTAATCCATCTTGAGTCTCAATGAGAAAGGCGGACTATAAATAAAATTAATACATAAACTACCAAATCCAATATTTATTATCTCTGTGTGTTGCAAAGCGGTCTGATTACTGAATAGCAACAGCAAGCTTTTCTGGTGTTCTCTGCTCTGTAGAGGAGGATTTTTTTCCCCATATGGTAGATTTGCTTTCAGAACTATATATAGCAGGACCTCTGGCCACATTATAATGTAATGATCCAGCTACTGTCACTCAGTGTGGGGGAGTCTACATTTTCCTTGCAGTTGAAGGCAAGCTTGTTCAAATAAAAACATGACCCTGAAATTGTTCAAAATAATTGATGGTGAGCTAAATGCCATTATTGTGATGTTTAAAATAGACATGAATCACTTGAGAATCCATCAGTACTGGCAAAACATTACATTTACCTTCATTGCTGCATTGAAGTACAACTATATTTTGTTTATTTTGAGTTGGCTTACTGCATGGGTTGTTTTTAATGAGTGGCTTTTTTCTCAGTAAAAAGCAATCAGTTTTCACTCTTTCTCTTTGTCCCCCAACAGGCGGTGCTCAGTTCTGTGCAATCCCTCATCCTGTTCTCCAGGGCCAGAGTCTGTCCCCAGTATCGTATCTCTGAGTTGCACTGGAGGCAAGTCCCCAATGAGTTTAGTGGGCTCAAAATCGCCCTTTGCCTTTCTTACTGCCTTCCTTGTCCTTGTCAACAGCATCACTCACATCCATAAGGGGCTGATTGGCAAGGTGAGTTACCATCATTTTATTAGGCTGCTGTTTGTGTAGGGGAAGGGTCCAGAGAGTACGCTATTGCCATTGGTCAGGTGCTGTTATCTGGGGCAGTGTTAGCCTGAGGGTCACAGGAGCCTTCTGATTGGCGTGGTGATGATCAGGCAGAGTGGTGTAAAACCAGAGGTATGCTGGGTGGGCTCCTTTGAGGGGAGTGGGAAGCCAGGATAGAAATATTTGAATAGATAAAGTTAATGGTTATATAGTAGGATACTATATTACCTCTAATCCACTTATTACTGTTGTCATACTCAAAAGACACTGAACACTGTACAGATGTAGAAGCAGTTACCAACTTCAGC